CAGTCGCAAGAAAGGTTCACGGCCTCGGACATCCGGAGACACTTCTCCTCAAAACTGACGGGATGTGACCGACACTCGACGATTTTCCAACTACTACTTCTTGAGTTGATCCATGTCCGACGCAGATCAACGTGGTGTTGCAGCCTCTTGATCGTTTCGTTGATGTCTTCATTCGACTGTTGCGACTACCGTTACGCCCTTGTTCCTTTGTGGAGGTGACGGTTTGTAACATTTGGAAGGTCACACAGCAAGCGCGTCCAAGGAAGATAGTATATTGCGGGGTTGAGAGTTATTGACGTAGCAGCCTGCACGCTGGGGACTCCGTTGTAGGGAGTTGAAGGGCCTTGCAATGCACAGACGGATCTTCTTAGGTACGGTAAGCTGGCGGCCTCGCTAGTATGACTTGGTGTATACTAGTTGGTTGCAGCGAGCCTATCACTCGCTGTATCATATTGTAAAAAATACAGCATTACATGAGTCCCGTACGTCTCTCGAAATAGGGGGTGGCGCATGTCCATAGTTTTCAAGGGGGATCTTACCATCATGTGTAGCATTGTAAGGGAGAAAGTCTTCATCTCTAGGAACATTATAGATGGAATTTCTGTCACTCATCAGTTTCCGTTTAAAACAGACAGGTCACTCAGAAGTACCGGTAAAAACCTCTCGAAGATAACCAAAATCGATGAAACCTGCACCATAACTCCGTCTCATTTGCTGATATGTACACCAGCGCCACTAAAGCTGTCGCTATCGCCTCGGATTGCCTGACCTTGCTCCCTTTGCCTTCAGCCTTCTACTCATGCGCGCGGGTAGTGCGGAAGTCACGTTTTTTGCCACCCCTCAGCCGAGCGATACCGACCGTGGCGAGAAACCAACACCATGCAATGGAGAGCTTGTATAGGCTTGTTTTGCAGCAATTTTAATAGTTTCTAGTCTGCTACCTATAGAAGTTGTTCTAACCTCGATTCTTAATAACTTTTTAGAGTTTTTCTTAAAACCCACGAGTCTCTGTATTAATAGCTGCCTGTGGTAGCTGCTGCCATATTTTGGCTATATAGTGTGGTTGAGGATGCTAGGATTCGCCACGCCAAGCCCACTCACATGACTTCCGCACTACCCGCGGATACGAGTAGGCAGCATCTGTCTCAACAGATTTTTCTCATACTTCTATGGGTTTCTCATAGCCAATGACATTGGTCTTGCCTGCTACTAGCGACGTATCCGGTGGACCATCGCGCAGCTCAGCTTTGTTGTTAATTGCCAGCAAGAGATAAAGGTCATCCTATTGGTGTGTGCCTGTGGAAGAGATTGCTGTGCGACTTTGGCTGATTTGTAGAGGCAGACATGAACAATGGTAACAAAATCTTACAACCAACGACAGCCTACTGCCATTACATCCTGCTTTATGCAACATCAGATCGCTGTTAGCTATTGTACTAGTAGCATAACATAGATTATACGCACCCCTTTGGTTGTTGGCTCATTGGGGTAGACACTGTGGCGTAGGTAACAATCGCTTCGCCAGGCAACGACTGCTGCTCGAATTATAGCATACCGGTAATGGCTGTTGCACATTCATGCATTGTCAGCTCTGTTCGCTCATCCTCACGTCACTGTGCAGGTCAGCTGCGCCTCTCGCGGCCTTGGGCATTCGAAACGCAGCCTGACTTAACAATGAAGATGACCGGCCTTCCTCATCTCTAACTGAACAAACCGTTATTCAGCATTCACAACAAGCCAAGTAGTTGCTATTTCTACGCGCTGTGCGAGCGAGCCACAGTGCACTATTCTTCGTGCAGCCAGCCTGCTTCAGAGGTTCCGAGACTCCCTCCTATCTACCCGCGCAGATACCATAGACACATACCGCCCGATGCGACTACTGTATACCGCAAGCAATGGGAAACTTGAATGGACGGAGGACCTTATTGAGGATATTCCTCCCTACGCGATCCTGTCGCATACTTGGGAAAAGCACGAGGTGGTCTTCAACAGTCTGAAGAGCCTTGATAATGTAGAAGACATTGATGCAAAGTGGGCAGCTAGTTGGCGCAAGATTCGCTTCTGTGCACAACAGACAGAGCGTGACGGTCTGCAGTACTTCTGGATAGACACCTGCTGCATCGACAAATCAAACAATCAAGAGCTCCAAGGGGCGATCAACTCTATGTTTTGCTGGTATCAGAACGCACAGAAGTGTTACGTCTACCTTTCAGATGTCGAGTCTAACGCTCCTGATGCGGATAGTGAGTCGAGCCGGAGGTGGAAGCCGGCCTTCAGGAAGAGCAGGTGGTTTAGAAGAGGTTGGACACTCCAGGAACTACTTGCTCCTGCATCGGTAGAGTTTTATTCCAGTGATGAAGAACTATTGGGGGACAAGAACTCTTTGAAAGACACTATCCACGAGATTACAGGCGTTGCCAGCGATGCTCTGTTGGGGAAGCAGCTCTCGGAATTCAGCGTACAAGAGCGGTTCTCTTGGGCAAAAAATCGCCAGACGAGATACCCAGAAGACGAGGCATATTGCCTCTTAGGTATATTCGATATTCATCTTCCCCTGATCTACGGCGAAGGCAAAGAGCATGCCCTGAAGAGGCTTGATAAAGAAATAAGGGAGCCTTCCGCGTACGTCATGCGTGTTCAAAAGAACCTTGGAAAGATCTACAGTTGGCTCGGGGCGCCTGACCCGTCCACCAACTATCACAAAGCGGACAAGCAGCGACAGACTGGGACTGGGCTATGGCTGCTGAAAAGTGCAAAGTTCAAAGATTGGAAGGAGAGTGCAGCGTCGCAACTATGGCTGTATGGGATCCCAGGGTGTGGAAAGACAATCCTTAGCTCCACTGTCATCAAGGATCTGCAGCAGCATTGTCGTAATAACGTTCATATGGTAACGGCGTACTTTTACTTCGACTTCAACGACATACATAAACAGGACGCAGAGCTGATGCTCTGCTCGTTGCTCTGCCAGCTTGTGCAGTCTTCGGTTGTTGTACCCGAGAGCGTTGACGCGTTGTTCTCATCTTGCAACAACGGACAGCGAAAACCCTCTGCGAATGCGCTTTTAGAAGTAATACAGCAGGTAACAAAAGGGTTCACGCAAGTCTACTTTGTTCTTGATGCTCTTGACGAATGTGCACAACGCAAAGAACTGATGGATATGCTCGAAACAGTGGCTGGGTGGCAACTTGGCAATGTGCATCTGCTTATTACCAGCCGAAAAGAGCGGGATATCGAGGGTTCCCTGGAGGTTTACATCAAGGAAGAGGAGACTGTCTGTCTTCAGATGGACGTAGTAAATAAGGATATACAGCGATACGTTCGACAAAGGCTGTCTGACAATAAGCGCTTAGCGAAATGGAACAAGAACGCTGCTACTAGGGAGGAGATTGAGACAGCACTAATGAGTGGAGCTCACGGGATGTGCGTGTATTGACGAATTTCTCCGCAGAGTTGACACTGACAAGAATATAGGTTTCAATGGGTTGCATGCCAGCTAGACACGCTAGAAACGTGTTGCAATCAGACGATGTTGCGTAAGTCTCTTGCCACTCTACCCCGAACACTAGACCAGACATACGAACGCATTCTCTCCGCAATAAGCGACGAATATTCCGAGTATGCTATGCGCATTCTGCGCTGGCTGACCTTCTCTGCGCGGCCGCTATCCGTCGAAGAGATCGCTGAAGTTGTCGCCATCGATGTCGCGCGCGACCCAGCGTTCGACCGTGATGAGGTGTTAGAAGACCCGCTAGAAGCGCTCAACATCTGCTCTAGTCTAGTCACTATTACATCGAACAGGGCGAAAAGAGAATCAAGCCCTGTCAAACAAATCATTACTCTAGCACACTTCTCAGTGCAAGAGTACCTTGTGTCGGACAGGATCAAGCAAGGTTCAGCAAAGCAGTATAGCATGCAAGAGGTCGAATGCCACAACGTCATAACAACAGGTTGTCTGAAGTACCTGCTTCAACTACAGCCGCCAAAGTCAAAAATAGCCGTAGAGCAGGCCGCGTTGGCACGCTACTCAGCAGAGTTCTGGAGTAGCCATCTTCGAAAGGTAGAATACGAGATGGAAGATTTATGTCGGCTAGGCATCAGGTTACTAGACATTAAAGAACCTGCATTTCTCACATGGCTGCGTTTATACAATCCCGAGGATCCCTGCACGCAGCCAGACTTGGATAGGAGTCTAGACAGCGTGCCTGAGCCGCTATACTACGCATCACTGTTAGGCTTGAGTACAGTCACAAGACTGCTCGTCGACAAGGGCGCCAATATTAACGCACAGGGTGGAAACGAAGGCGACGCACTTTGTGCGGCCTCATCAAAAGGTCATAAGCAGGTAGTCAAAATACTGCTTGAAGCAGGCGCCAATGCTAAGGCGTGTATTATAGGACATGGCAGCGCTCTACAGTCAGCCTCAATTATGGGCCACAAGCAGGTAGTCAAGATACTGCTTGAAGCAGGCGCCAATGTTAATGCGCAAAGTCAACGATACGGCAGCGTACTACACGCAGCCTCATGGGCAGGCCATGAGCAGGTAGTCAAGATACTGCTTGAAGCAGGCGCCAATGTTAACGCGTGTATTCCAGGACATGGCAGTGTCCTGCACGCAGCCATGCATAGCAGCAACGTCCTGCACGCAGCCATACGTAGCAGAAACGTCCTGGACGCAGCCTTACGTAGCAGAAACAAGCAGGTAGTCAGGATACTGCTTGAAGCGGGCGCCAATTTTAACACGCAAACTCAACTACACAGCACCGTACAACAAGCAGCCTCGTGGAGAGACAATGAGCAGGTAGTCAAGATACTGCTTAAAGCAGGCGCCAATGTTAACGCGCAAAGTCAACCATACGGCAGCGTACTGCACGCGGCCTTATTAAAAGGTGACAGGCAACTAGTCAAGATACTGCTTAAAGCAGGCGCTGAGGTTGAAGTGTAGGGTAAAAAGCACGATAGAGCGCTGTCTATAGACAGCTGTTTATCTGGTCATAATTGAAGTGCTAGATCTTTCAGCCTCAAAGATGGTATCACTTAAATTTCAGGATACGTATAATCGGACCTTGCTCTCTCAGGCTGCGATTAGAGGCTGTATTGCAATATCCGACGATGAGGAGGGCCCAAATGCAGTGTGTAATGTGATCATATTGTCCTAGTCTAGGAGGATGGGAGCTATCTATGGGCAAGCACCGCCAAGAGGCTAAGCCCGTCACACGTGACCCAGGCGTTCATGACACAGCAGGAAGTGGGCAGTCTACGACGGGATCACGCCACAGCTGTCGTTTGACATAACAGGCATAGTATAACTTTCAATACGACGTTGAATTACAGCCATGTGGTCACGCTAGTGCATACCAAGAGGGGCAAGCGTTGTGCCCCGCGTTTGGCCGATCTATAACGTGATCCACCACCAAGCGCCCACCCCCACCAAGCGCCCACCCCCACCAAGCGCCCACTAACACTGAAATTACTAAATTTTTAACACTAAATTTCTTAATAACTATAGCACCTATTAATAACGCGCTTGTAGTAATTAAATCCTTAACTCTTAGAGAAGATTTTATATACTTAGAAATAGTAGAAAAGTATAGTTACTTATAGTTAACCTTATCTAGATACTACTAGAAAATTTAGTAAGTATATACTACTACTCTACTAAATAGTTAAATACTTAATACTATATAAGAAAGTAAGCTTATAAAGTATATTAAAGAGCTTTATAGGTAAGGATTACCCCCTATATAGACTATTATTTAAAATTTTATAACTAAAATAATAAGGAATCTAGTAAGTAAAAATTAGGTATAGTGCTTTATTAACTACTATAATATTAATCTTATCTTCTATTAGGCTACTAGGCTTAATTATAACTACTTTAAAGCTAATTCTACCTTTAAGTATAGCTTATACTTTAAGCTTTTATACTAAAAAATAAAGTAATATAATATTAAGAGTTAGTATATCTATAATATAGATAAGAAGGGTTTTCTTATTAGAGTACTATTAAAAACTAAATATATATTTAATAAGAGCGCCTATAAGTAAAGAAAGATTAGAGCTATACTCTAGAATAGTAATAGGGAGTAGATTACTACTATAGCTTATATATACGCTAATAGTACTACTCTTACCTCTACTCTTATTTATTAGTCCTAATCTAGAGCTTTATAGGATACCTAGTTATAAGATTTTAATCTATTATAATACTAAGCTTTCTTTATAGGATTACTAAGTAAGTAGATAAGCTATACCCTAGGGGTATCCTAGCTTAAGGAGGTGTTTAATTATAAGATAAAAGCTAAAGCTTATACTTTATACTAGCTCCTTATCCTTAATAGCTATAGATCTTATATAATAATAAAGTTTATTAAGTACTATAATAAATATAAGATCCTACTTATAATATATCCCCCTTATAGCACTTATACCCTTTAGCTACTTAATATTATAGTATTTACTCCCTTTATAGCTTTATATAAAGCTTAACTATCTAGTTTTCTAGATAGCTCCTAAGGGCTTATAAGCATTATTAAGAGGGATTTCTACTAGTTATTTAATACTATATAAAGTAATACCTTTAAGGAAAAGCTAATATTAATAGCTTTTAAAGTAATAAGTATCTTACTACTTAACTCTAATATTATTCTTTTAAGGTTTAAAGCACTTATAAATAATAGTAACTAGCCTTCTTTAAGTAATAGTATAACCTTAATATTAAGTATAAGTAATTAGAGAAAGATAGAGTAGTTACTCTATAATACTATAATTAATATCTATAATAAATAGTTAAAGAAGCTTAGCTAGATAATCTATACTATATTAGTAAGAAATACTCTACTTAACTATAAAAATAAATACCTAAGGGCTACCCTAGCTAATAAGAAGAAGTATAGGAAGTATAGTAAACCTCTATTATTACCCCTTAATAATAATTATAGTAGTAGTACCTAATTTATTTTACTATTAAAGGTAGAGTAAGTATTTAAGCTTTAGGAGTAAAAGAACCTTAAAGAATAAAAGCTATAATACTAAAAAAGTAAAGTAATTAAGCTTTATAAGTAATAAAAGCTTACTAAAGCTTAACTTATAAAGGAGTGTTACCTAAATTAAGTAATTACTAAGAAGGAGTAGGAGGAGAAAGCTACCTAAAAAGCTACTATATATAATAAGTAGAAAACTACTAAGTAACTAGAAAAGTAACTCTAAAATAATATTAAAATATCCTAAATAGGTAAGAGGTAAATCCTTAAGCCTTCTACTATTATACTAGCTAAGGTAGTTAATAAGGAGCTAGTAGAAGAGGATATAGTAGTAGAGGTAACTTTATAGCATAGGCGCCTAATTAGACCCCCTAAAAAGCTGCTTATATAATCTAAAATATTTAATCTACTCTAATAGATCTAATAATTGCAACTCTAAGAAATCTTGTAATAATAGCTATTGTGGGTGGCGCAATATCCTTATTTAGTGGGTGGTGGATTTTGGTGTTGGTGGGCGCTCGGTGGGGGTGGGCGCTCGGTGGTGGATCACGTTACCAGGATGGGGCTGGAGACATGCTCGGAGGGCAATGGTCCGATAGACCGGTACAGTCGAGTCATGATCACCCGGCCCCTACGTCAAGTAACCTTTTGGAAAGTAGTAGCTCCGAGGTTGGGCAGATCAAGGAAGTAGGCCCGTCAAGCTTGGGGAGCTTTATAAGATGGATGTACAACCCAATGGCTCGCGTGGTAGCTTGAATCCCCAGGTTCTGTGTAGATCAAAATGTTCGGAAAAAGGATATTGATCGCTTTGGCGACTGCTAATACTGTTGCATGGGCTACATTCCTCCCAGAATCTGCAAGCGATAGCCACTTCCGTTACAACTTGCGGAAGCGCGCTGACAATGGAACCTCATTCAATGGCCCATACAGTACCAGTGGAAGGGATATCGTCGACAGTAGAGGCGAAAAGGTAACATGGGCTGGAGTCAATTGGCCAATGAGTGGTAGGTCATGCAAGATGTTTGGTTAGAGAGATAGCTAACGAGGATTCTCAGGCGAAACAATGATTCCTGAAGGTCTCGAATGGGCATCAGTAGAGGAGATTCTTGATGATATCGCTGGTGTTGGATATAACTACATCCGCATGTAAGATTATCTTGAAGCATTTGAATCGCAACCGCGATGCTGATGATTTTACCAGGGGCTATGCCATTGAAATGATCGACCAAGTGTATCATAGAAATGGCTCAGACGTCCCTCTCGAAGTTGCTATGATCAATGCGCTTGGATACGTCAACGGGTGAGTTTTCTGACATCTCTTCGATCGAATCACCGACTAATATGCAAACAGCACCAAAGTCACAAACGAGATCATCGCTCGGAATCCTGGTTGGACCACCCAAACCACTCGTTTTGAGATCTGGGACGACATTACGCGCCTTGCTGCTACCAAGGGTATCTTCATCAGCCCAGACGTTCACACAGGCAAAGCACAATGGTGCTGCTCCCATATTGATGGGACAGCCTGGTTCGACGATATCCACTTCAACGCATCAGACTGGCGCCGTGGTCTCTCCTACGTTGCCAACTGGGCCAGGAGCCACCCCAACATCGTCAGCATGTCTCTGCGCAACGAGCTCCGCGAATCCTGGAACGTCACGAACTTGTACTACAATTGGCAAACACTTGTTGGAAACATGACTCAGGGTGCTGACGCGATCCACGAAGCCAACCCCGATATCCTCATTCTGTGGTCTGGCATGCAGTACGGACAGGATGTCTCGGCTCTGACGAGCGGCAAGAACATCCTCACAGCACCTTGCTACAAGTGCACTGCCATCCGCGATGCTGCTCGCCGTGAACCAGAATACTTCAACCTCGATGATCACCCATGGGCGAATAAGGTTGTCTACGAAGTTCATTTGTACAGCATGAGCGAGGACGTTGACACAGGCACGTGCCCCATCATCCAAGCCAATCTCTTCCGCAACGGCTTCAACGCCCTAGGAATAGACGCACCAGCCGCATGCAACACCACCAACGACTGTCCCAAAGCCATTCGCGAAACCCCAGTCATCCTCTCCGAGTTTGGCAGTGCCCAAGACGAAACGCTTTACAATGCTACACTTCAGAACTGCCTTCGCGAGTTCACCATCGACAATGGGATCAGTTGGATGATGTGGTCCGTTGCTGGTTCCTACAGGATTAGATCCGGTGTCCAAGGTTTCCCCGACACATGGGGTCTGACGAATTATGACTGGACGGGCTGGAACTATGCGGAAGGCATTGAGAAGTTTTGGAAGCCTTGGGTTAGGGCGATGAACCCTACCAGAATTGGTTGAATATCGATCAGATGTAACGCAGAAAGATGTTGAGTAAGATTACAACATACTAAATGACTTGTTGTCAGGTGGTTCCTCCTTCCAAATCATAATGGTGCACTATATCTTTGCTCGCTCAACTGACCGTGAGCGAAAAAGCATCAACATTGACAACGGTTTCATTCAGGGCCGAAAATTGAAGTGATATTAATGCATGCAACTTTCTGTTCTAGACCTCAGACTCTAGCATATGGGCCTATACAGCCTCGAAGTAAGTGGAAGCGGCCGCCTTGAAAGCTCCGTACATGAATCATCGACTGCAATTGCTTGTATCAAGGTATAACCATTGACTACATATACTGTAGACAACAACGCGGCTAGATCATTTTGGGTAGCTATATTTACGCCTTACTATCATAGCTATGAGTAGCTATTACTAGATTGGGGCATAATTGACAGGGCCAACACCGTAGGTTCAAGCGAGAGTTCAAGAGGGTTGCAGTCTGATAGATTATACCGTGCAGTAATCGTCTGTTGCTGGCTTGAAATACGCCTACCATTACTTAGCTAAAGTAGCAAAAAGTGTCCATTGAATAGACACGTTTTGGCAACTGGATAATGGTATCGAACTCTACTTTCGTCACCGCGGTGTGCTAGTTCCACTGCCATGGTAGGAAAACTGTAGATCGTGCCCAACATATGGGGACTACGTTGAGAAGTTTCCATCCTACGAGGCCGTTGGTAAGACTATCTATGAGAAATTTGGAATGGCGATGACTTGAAGTGGATTAATTGTAGGGAAAATTTCATGTCCATTATTGACGGTTATAAACGTGCGTTCCTCGTGATCTGCAGCAGCACAAACGACGATAGCTATTCATCACCGAATTTCTTCCCCATACAACCGTAGAACATTGACGGTCAGTTTGACTACCTAACCCGTATCTTTTGTGGTACTATTTCAAGTGGGATATCATATGTCTTCCGGATTTGGGCAGTCACGCCTTCTACTTCGGTAGGTCAGGCTTAATCTATGTTGCATAAACACTGAATTGTGGTACTGCTTAGGTTCTAGCCGGCTGCAATTAAATATGTAGCGACAATGTATTCTGGGCTAGTTCGAATTCCATTTACATAGAAACTAGCATTATCTACACTACCTCCCCTAGACCCGTCATTTCAGGTGATATGTTCATACCGAGGGCCATTTATAGGACATCCATCTCTCCAGCGTACGATTCCAATTACCGCTTCCAAGCTGAATATGTACAAAGTGATCCAGATACTGCTTCCACACAACATCTCGCTCCACCATATAACCCAGCTCTTCAAATGTAAACGTCGCATTCGGATTAACAATGCAAAGCACGCCCGGATGTAACCGGACCTGCAATTCAACCTCGATGATATCACTAATCATGGCATCGGCATCGCCGTCCATGACAGCCTTGTAAACGGCATTATTGTCTTGCACCAAAACAATGGTAGCCGTCTTCAGATTTGCCCGGTCAAACGCCTCATTCGTGCCTCCGGGGTTAACAGCGACTTTGACACCGGCAGTATCAATGGCCGCCAGAGACGAGAACTTGGCGAGGTCGGCACATCGCACGCAGGCGGCCTTGCCCACGCGCTGGATTGCAGTGGAAAAGAAGACTTTTTGCGCACGGGCTAGGGTGATGCTGACGCCGCTCATGGCGACGTCGAATTTGCTTGCTGCAATGTCCGCTGTGACATTTGCCCAGATAGTGGGGACGAACTCGACTGGACGTGGGAGACCGAGTGAGTTTGAAAGCGACTGGGCCAAATCGATATCAGCGCCGATATAAGTGGTGTTTATGGCTGGTGTTGTCGCAGGCAGAGCTGTTTGGTTGGCCACTTTGTAGGAGAACGGCTTGTAATCTCCGGTTGTGCCGACTTTCAGGTAGCCACGCGCAAGGATTTTATCGAGAATGGAGGTGATGTTGCTGTATGAGGTCGGCGTTGAGTAGCTGGGAGGAGTTAGTTTTAAGACTTTCTAGGTAATCAGGCAGGGTAGGGCATTTTACTTGGGGGAGTACTCGCTGTTATGCACATTGTTTCCTCTAGAGGCGGTGGCAAGAGGGCTGACGAGCAAGCAGGCTGCAACGAGTATTGAAGTAGGGTTCGGCATCTTGATAGATGTACTCAATTGCCACTGTCAACCTTGTAATGGACATTGTCTGAAATCCGGGGAGATTCCACTTGGTCGTCCTGATCACGTGCGGCCTCCGCAATCCCGTTTTTTGGGAGCTCCACCAGCCTTCAGTAGAGCCTCCGCAACTTGGCTCTTATCAGAGGTATCTTAACCCCTTTGATCACGGCCCCGGATTAGCAGAGCCCACAAGAGCCCAATCATGCCATCTATAGTCTCAATTCCGTCTGCTTAGTGTCGCGATGGTCTGCTAGATGGAAAATCTAGTCGTGTCTTGGTTAGAGCGGACGATAACTGGGTGCCGTAATTAGACTCCGAGGTCATTATTCCGACGAAAGCCCGTTCTGGGGTTTAGGTAGTGTCTTCCAACTTCAGACTGTGCAAAGTACCATATCATGTCTACCATAAGTAACTGTGTGGCACTAGAAGACGTCGAATACACGTATGCTATACAATAGTGTATCAGAATTGTAATTCCCATGCAAAAGACCATCTCGCAGCCCGTTGATTTTGCGGTGCCATGTTCAACCAATCAAATCGTGTTCACCCCAGTTACCCTTTTCGGGAATCGCAACTCCGTCGCCGCAACAACAATTTGTTTCCCATGTTCATGCTCGCGTAAGTACACTTATCCAATTCCACACACAGCACCACCGTCCCCTCATCGTCTTCCCATCGCCCATTGCCTATCTCGAGCTAAAAGACTCTTCCTTGCGTGCTTTCGAGGAAATAGGCGGACCTCCCCCCGCCCTCCTCCAAGAAAAAAAATATGTACCGGTAGGAAAGAAATTCACCCTAGCATCACCATCACCATCACCATCACCACAACACACCAATCCCTAAACAGCCAAACAAACAAACAAACAAACACACCAAAACCACCCCACGCACCACGCTCACCCGCGCTACAGCACCCTATCCATACCTAACAACCCACTCTAGACCCAAACCCCAGCCATGCAAATCTCATTACCCCCGCTTCCTAACCTAAACTTTAACAATCTAAACGGACGGATAAATCGCAATCCAACATGCAATTCCAATGCATTCCTCATTCCAACTCTGTCCTTTATGAACCCTGTGGCCTAAGTAGGTTCTAGCAAGCGAGTTGGAAATCAAGGGTTGGCTTAAACCGATCCCAGAAAATGTCAACTAGGAAAGGTAACCAAAAAGGTAAAAAAAAAAAAGCCACACGCCTGTCCAATATTGCATTCCCCCCCCCCCCCCCCTCGCCTTGGCCCGGGAACGTTCACTCCAACCCAACCCAGCCAGCCCAACCATGCGCCCAACAAACCCCACCACCTGGACCTGCAAAAAGCGTCGATATGAACAAATCTCCTCGTCAAGCCTTGCCACTCTAAAAGAAGATGAAAGAATTGTGATGGGTGCGGTTAAAGGTTATACTGTGCGAAATGCAACAGTAAGCATAAAGTGTCATTCATCCCTCTCACCCCTTCATATAATTCCTATCCTTCCTATCCTTGCTATTAAAACGCCCCCCTCCCTGCCGAAAGCATTCATCATATGCATCCAATGTATAGAAAAAAATAATGTTTGCCAAAAAACAACCTGGAAAAGCAAGAAGAACGGACAAAAAACACGTCCTTAAACAGGCCAAAGAAATCATCCAAGAAGCAAAAAACAATACAGGAGCGGAACAAGGAGCGCTAATTGGGTATCGAGCCTATGCTTTTTTCGCCAGACCAAGATAAAAAAAATGATAAAAGAAACAATCAAGCCGAGCAATTAACCAAAACAACAAAACACCTAGCTTGTCTCAAATGCCCAAGGGGAGAGAGGGAAAAGAAAAGAGCCAACACCACCAATTCACCATGCCCACCAACCTTCGTTTTACGACAATGGAGAAGTAGCAGGCGAAATGGCAGGGGAATCATCTGGCCGCCTAGACTCGCGATCTCTCGCTACCATGGTAAAGGGTGCCACTGTCTGTGTAGTCATCGTAGCCTGTGGTTTCGTTGATTTTGCTGATTTCGCATTCGACGCAGGAGCAGGCGCGGATTGGCCCGCTGGAGACGTGGCTTCTGCGTCTTCTTCAAGAATGGTGGGACAGTATGTTTTGAGCACGTGCTTGAGGGCAGGACGGCGGATGGGTTTGGAGAGGAAAAAGTCCATGCCCGAGTCTAGACATTCCTGTTGTGTGGGGTTAGTTGCAGGGCAATAGGGGATTGGGATTTGGGCACAGGGGGCAAGGTGCTTACTTTGACGTTACTCTCCTCCGCATACGCCGTGAGTGCTACAATGGGGGCGGAGAAGCCGGATTGTCGGATCAATCGTGTGGACTGCAGGCCATCGAGGTTGGGCATCTGCACATCCATAAAGATGAGGTTATAAGGGCATTGTCGCTCCATGCTCTCCCGCACTTTATCTAGTGCCTCCTGGCCGTCCTTGGCTACAGTTACATCGTACACGTCTTCTAGCTTCAGCATTCGCAAGACGACTTCCTGGTTGGTTTTGTTATCTTCAGCCACGAGGACTTTTACTTTGTCGCCACGTTTAGTGGCTTCCGCTTCTACACGCTGCATAGCCGCTGCCTGTGAGCCTGGCGATTGAAGAGGGGCATTCGAGGCGAAGAATGGTTGACTCAGCCCAACAAGGCGAGGCTGGTGGTCTGCATCGAAAGGCACTGGACCGCCGCCTGTTGCCGTGTTACAGGTAGGCCCGCTCGTAGCAGAATGCACGGAACGGACTGAGAGTGCTTCATCAGCACGGCCCCGTGACTCATCGTTTGATAGACTGTGGCGTGGCGTTGCAGTGTCCAGATTGACGTTTCGCGAGCTGGCTGTACTGTCTGCTCTACTTGTGAGGTGCTTCAATGGAATCACCATTGTGAATACACTGCCATGGCCGACTTCGCTCTTCAGCCCGATTGTACCCTTCATCAAACCAGCTAGTTGAGAGCAGATACTCAGACCCAGACCTGTGCCCCCAAATTTCTTGCTGAGACCCAAATCACCTTGAACAAAAGGCTCAAAGATCTTGGCATGGATATTCTCAGGGATGCCTGGACCAGTGTCTTCGACTTCGAACTCGAACGATAGCCATCGTCCCGGAGGTGGTGTTGCTGCTCTCTCCTGTGCCATGTACTGTGAATATGCCGTTGGCTTATCGTGGGCATTGATGACATTGGCGGTCTCGTAGTGGGTTGGGGTGGTCATCGAGATGGATCTTGATACAGATCCGACTTCTGAAGCAGACGCCCGTATACGATTTTTCGAATTTCGCATAGAGCTATTGCGCGACTGCAGCGAAGCTTTTCGACTATCCGACATGTGCGCCTCGCCAGAACACCGGATGGTGAGCGTGACTGCGCCGCCTGCTGGAGTGAACTTGAGACTGTTCGATACCAAGTTGATCACGACTTGAAGTATCCGGTGTTGGTCTCCATATAGCACCATATCCTTCAAGCGGCCAAGCCCAAATGGGCCCAGATCCCCGGCCCCACTTGGTCGGCCATTCTCGTCCAGATTGCACTCGTAGGGCCCTTCAAATTTCACAGCCATTGAGATACCACCATCTTTGGCCTGCTTATCGAAAATAGCGAGGACTTGTGAGCTAATGTCTCTCAATCGGAACTCTTTCTCATCAAGACTCAACTGTTGGCCAACCTGGTTCTTGCTGCCAGTGTAGTCAGTATACAATCTATTTGATCGACCGTCAGAGTAAATCAACTCACCTGAAAGTGAGCAAGTCTGTCAGCAGGTTCAGTAACAAATCCCCACTCTTATAGATGATGCCCAAAGATCGCCTCAGTTTAATCGGATCATCTTCTGACATGCAAACAGCGCACATGCCCAGAATGCCGTTGAGAGGCGTTTTCAACTCGTGGGAGATGTTGGCGATGAACAAAGTTTTGCTCTCATTAGCAGCTTCAGCCGCCTGTTTGCTCTGTTCCAACTCCGCCGTTCTTTGCGCTACTCTTTCTTCAAGCCGTTCATACTGCATCATGAGTTCGTCCGTCATCTCATTGAAAGTTTTGGTCAAATCCGTGAGCTCGTCGTGGATGAGGTGCTTGCGGTCCTTTACTTTACTAGGAATGCGAAACTGTTTTCTCCGCTCAGCGTCCCGCTTCTCCGCCTTGTTGACCTTTTGATTTCTACGATAGTGAATGATGGATCCAAAGAAGCCTTCCTTCCGCGCAAGGGCGCCATCTTCCGAGTCATTAGCGCCGTCGTTTTGCGAGCTGATGCTATCATTGTCGAAAAGATGGGGTGCGACGGTCCGCTTGGTGGCATCTCGAAGTCGTCTGATTGGACGACTAGAGTAATGGGCAACAGGAAAGGCGAGGATAATCATAGCACCCATGGTGCCAAAGACACAGGCGATGATGAGGTTGCGGAGACGGTAGATGGGAGCCCAGACCTCACCATGGCCCTGTTCCACAATGATCATCCAATCCACCATGGGACTGTTGACGACAGCATAGCCAACAGCAACATTATCCCCATCTTCATTCTTCGTCGAGATGATGCTGCCTGCATTATTTGTGGCACCCGTGGGCTCCGAGTAGCCTTTGCGAATAGCGGGGAACTTGCTCCAGCTGAACGGTGGGGGGTCTAGTGCCGTGTCCGCAGCACCGTGCCGTTTGATCGCTTGTCTGGGAGTGGGCGGCACAAGGAATCGCACCTCGAAATCTTCAGGAGGATTGGGATCCGCGGCGTCGTAGAGGTAGTTTGGGGGCAAAATGTTCGTAGCATTGTTCGGGCCAAACAATAGAGTGAGGCCACTGTCATCCAGGCCTTCGAGTGCATTGATCACGTTGGTAATGAGCGAAGCATCCAGTACTGTGGTCAGCCAGCCCAATGTCTCGATATTCGAAGTATTGTTGATGATCGGCAGAGTCACTGAGACAAGGCTTAGGTACTCATTAACGCGGTACGGCCCAGAAAAAAGATAGCTTGTGTTGTCGATTGTTCGTCCCTCGTAGTGGGCTTTGAGTGTATCGAAGGTCGAGTTGAAGCGTATCGGCTCCACGGTGAAGGCAGGATAAAGTTCGGGAATGAAACCCTCGGGACTGCCTAGCGTTACGTTTTGTCCGTCTGGACCCTTGAAGGGAAGAACAACATTCGCAACGGTATTAGCGGTCCGACTGAAGAGCACCCGCGAAGACGAGTTGAAGGCGTATATCCGTGCTTGTATGGCGCCACGAGCCTTGGCGTCTCCAGAGAAGATGGCATCGTAGTCCTCCGCGGTCCGCTGCCAGTTGCTTTCTGAGTCATTGCCGCGATAGTAGCGTTGGAGGGCGGATTGTGGGGCCAGACGGTTGGCAGCCTGTTGAACGAGGATTTGCATGAGGGCCAGATTGGATGATAGCTGAGCCGCTTTCAGCGAAGCTGTCAAGGTCAGACGCGTGGCTCGTATGCCAAGAACAAAGTCGTGGTTTGTGATCTAGGCAAGATTAGACGGTTCCTACAGCATTGAGATACCCACAGCTATGTGCATACCCAAGTGGCAATGGCTATGACGGCCAGGCCGATCATAGACGCCAGCAGGACCAAACAGCCCAGTTGCTCGCGAATGGGTATCCGCATCTTGACCATGACTCGGGCTCCCCAAAGCACCGGCGTGAATATAGTAGTGTTTGATCAGTGGACGAGGGGCAGAGGGGAAGGAGGGAAGGGGGAGCGCCGAGGCTCGAGGAGGATGGGGTGAAATGCGCAGGCGTGGATGGAAATCAGTCGGCTGCAGGAGAGCAGGCGCTATTGCCAGACTGAGCGACGTGGTAGACGACGTGGTCGTGATGCGACGGGCGTTTGCTGGTATCCCATTCCTTGCGGTGCGATCGGGGGATTTCTGGTGGCAACGAAAGCGGGTGTTGGCGAGGCGTGTGTCGCGATGTGTGTAGTGTGGGGGCGACGCTGGCGCAGTGGAGTTGTGAAAGGTAGGCACGGCAGCCAGAAGTTAGAACGTCCTCAAAGGTACAAGGCGCAGACTTTGGATGGTGACACGACACGACACGACAGGTTAGGGTAGGATAGGATAGGATAGGGTAGGGTAGGAGAGGAGAGGAGAGGAGAGGAGAGGAGAGGATAGGATGGATAGCTATCCCAGGTAGGCGACAATAGGGACGTGTGATGGGAGATTGGTCTGCAATCGTCTACTGCCTATATGTAGATGTGGGGGAGGGGCGTGCAGGCAGGCGCAAAGGAAAGGACGAGCTGGCGCTCTCTGGCGGTGGTATGGAGATGGAGAATGAGGCCGAGGATATCGGATATCGCAAAGGCAACATGGGGAAAAGGACAGTCGGGGGCGGCGGCGCGCGTCCGCCGCAGTGGAAGAGAATCTCAGCCGTGGTCCAGTTGAGATTAGCTGCCGGCCCTTGCGCTTAACCGGGTCTGAAGTCTTGTTCGCTTGCGGAAGAGACATGGGCCTGGCTTCAACGGTGCGCGGCGGAACCTTGTTAGGGTAGGGCAGGTGAATATACTCTGAACGGGTATGAGCTAAGTATGTCCATTGTCTACTTTGTCTACCTAGACAGTAGACATGCTGCGCTGCTGAAGACGGGCGCATGGCTGCACCGGAAGAGGGACAGTGAAGCATACCTCTTGAACATGCATACACACACACCACACACCAACTAAAGACAGACCATGTTTTGTGGTGAGTGAATCTCCGTATCCACGCCACCCTCGTATCGAACTATTGCACGCCTTGGCAGGCGGGGAACGGGGCCTCTGATTCCACGGCCCAGCACCCGCTTCTCGAAGAAAAAGCGATCGGCAGATGATCCAAACAAGCTACGATCCACACAAACAAACCTGGACGTCCCACACCAAACAGTCGAGACTTTCTTGGCGGCCTCTTGCTGGGGCCGAGTTGAGAAGCAAAGCAAGTAAGCAACCAACCTTGGAACCAACCACGCTTGGGGGGGGGGGGCAAGGGAAGAAAAAGTTCCGAGCTACCATAGGACTACCCTACTAGAGTACAATTAACCTAGAGTACTAGAGTACACAGTGACAGCAGAGTACACGGTAGAGTACACAGGAGAGTACACAGGAGAGCACACAGGAGACTATGAGCGCACTGGCCTTTTGTATCACGGGATCCGTGTTTCGGTCTCGCCCGGGTCCATGCTTCCGTTCCAACGCCCATCCTCCCCCGTCTAACCCAGACACTGGCACACAGTATGTATGCGTCCATCTGCCCAGCATCCTTCGCTCCTAGGAGAACAATGCCATGAAACCCTTGTCATCTTCTTTGCTAGCCTAGAACACGGTACTGGACTCGAGAAATGGTATCTTTTTTTTACCAAGCTAGATCGTTGATGATGCAGTGAAGCTCTTAACTAGGTCGGTATACTACATCGACGTTTCTTCTGTCTTGTACCTGTGCCCCTCTCTACCTACGCAGCATACGGGCACAGTCAACCACCAGATTCCAGTAATTTCGTTTTACCTTGGTAGTTGCATGTCTCGACCACCACAATACACCGTCACTTCCTAACCCGCAAAAACCTGTCTCGGGTCAACTAGGCATGTCCCCTTGCGGAACCATGTCCCTCCTCTTACCGTTCACCAGAACTCAGCATTGAACGGTGCCCTTGTTTTCATCTCCACCGGTTTGATCCTGATGTTTCCATCCTTCACTTTGTTTGATTATGCTTTCATCATGATTGTCCTAACCATGCATTCATCATGGATCTGATCGTCGCCGTTTCCATCCGCTCGTCTCTCAGAGGAGCCGCTCCTCACTTGCCATTTGGCTTGCATCACCCAGGTCACACTCTGACCCCAGCCCTGAAAACCTAGGCGCGCTGGCCTACGAACCCTCAAGCGACCGCATGGCCCTTGTCACAGAACCTCTCCTGCCCTGCTCGGCCGTCTTGTTCGAGTAGTGGCGTCCCATCTTCTTGAGATGATGCAAGCTCACCATGAGCCCACAAACCGCTTTATCAAGCCCATCTTGTTCCATGATCAACGTATCGCGGTAAATCCATAGCTCGCCCACTTCACCACCCCGCATCGCTGACGTCCCCTTGGCTGAGTAGATGAAGCGTGCAATAACCACCGTCGAGCCCACCTCGGTAAGGACGAGCGACACTGGTGCCACATTGAGCGCCCATGTATAGTTCCGGTTCTCGATAGCATAGGTCCAATCTGCAAAGTTGGGAGACTCCATATTGTACGTCCTGCGCGTCCCATTTGATGCGACATGGTCAAAGTGTGCCCTGGGTCGCCATGGCAGTGGCCCGTCGTCGTCAAAATTCATACTCGCTAGTCTGCGCTGGCGCATCTCATGTGATGTATAGAGTACCTCCATATCCGGCTTCTTCGTGAAGAGACGAAACCCATTCGTCGTGATGCGATACGAAGTCGACGAGCATGGTCCATACGCGACCAGGATTTGTATCTTGCGATCGTATTGGCGAAGGTGGTAGGTAAGGATGGGTTCATCAAAGGTGCCGCTGTCGTAGGCTGGTGCTGTTGACTCTTCGTAGCCAGGCAGCTCTTCGTCGTGGTCCACATCCAAGTCCAGGAGACTCAGGCGCTGCCTTGTGGTCATAATGCTGTCTGATGGATCGGGTCGTTGCGCCAATGCGCCGCATGCCAGTCGACAAGAAATAAATTTTGGGGATTGAGCAGGCGCATCGCCGTTGTGGGATACGTAGTGCTCATGGCGCCTGAGGAGAGTGGGTGGTGAGGTAATGACGATGACGATGACAGAACCATTAGAGCTAGAGGCTAGCTCGAGATTTGATTGTCATTACCGGTACCGGTACGCTTACCCTTTTCTGTTCCTTCTAGCACGAGGGACTATACTCAAAACCCCTTTCCTATCCCTCCACCAGTCCGACACAAGTGCACTAGGTATCCGAAAATACAGCGCTGTCTCTCTATAGATGCTACAGCTGGTCCGTACCGTACGGGAGGTTTTTGGTGGTTGCGCGTTGGGTGTCGCATTGGTCGCAATATCGGGGAGTAGATGAGCTTGCACAGTCGCTGGTTCTCCTCCACTACCACCGTTAACAGCTCCGACGGTGAAAACTCTTTGTGAAACACCCATCGTAACATTAAAAATTGTTTTCACATGCACACAACGTAGCATCTTGATTCATTGTGGTGTTGTGCTACCACTGGTCATGGAAAGCTAGGTATCGGTCGCGCATGCAGCCAGACTACAAGTGCACGAACAACAAACAGCGTACCGGTACCGAATGTACTACCTTTCAATGGTGAGGTTTGTTTAGCTTGACTCGACCTCCCCCCACAAGGAACGACTGGTCATCGCGCCTTAATAGATTACCCCTGAATAGAAGAACCTGCACAAGTCGTGCGAGCTCCCGTCTGAAGCGGGCTCGAATAGGTCCGATTTCCTGACTCACCTATGGCTCTGTTGATTTACCTGGTATTATAGAGAGAGATATAAGCAGATGTATGATTTAAAAACTGAGATTACTTATACTATCTACACTACGTACAGACTTCCATAGATATGTAATATTCAAATATCCTATACTACATTGACTTGCTTATCTGCAGAGTTTCGGAGAGCTATTGCCATGAGGATGGAATTTCTCTCGAAAGCAGTGGGATATCTCCCACGATATTCCGAATGGAGAGGAGTCTTAGGGACAACTATGAAAGACAGGAAGCGCAATAAGTAGCAGTATGCTATCTGATTACAACATGAATGCCAGAATATACTGAAATATTAAGAAGTTATCTTTCATCATTATGAATTTGAGTCGTGTCAAGTGACAACGCGACAATGACGTCAACGCGACGACCACAGTGAAACTAAAACACGAAAACACGTGCCGGATCCTGACATCTTCAAGGTTTTGTTCCCTTCGTGGCTCAGAACCTAACTTCCTGATATAACCATTCTTCCTTTTGAGATTCCTCGTTACTGTGAACTTGTCATGCCACGGACCCCCTCGACAAAGCGTGACGTTGTACCTGACGCTTTTCATGATGATTCAAGCAGTAATGCTCTATCCAGCCCACCCGAATCACCAGCTTCGCCTCCTCCAGCTTCATCGTTCAGAGGCCAGCTGAGCAAATTTGAATTCAAAGAACAAGAAGGCCGAACCTCTACTAATCCCATACCCAAAGCAGCTTTTGCCTCTACCTCCACAACAAGATCTAGCAAACGCTCCCTTTCCACCACCTCCACCACCCCACCATCCAGCCAGCCTAAGAAACAAAAGCGCAAACCCAGCAAATACGCACCACCCTCAAAATACGCACACCTGAGTCCCCTGACGGACATTCTCGCCCCAAATTTAATCTGCGTCTTCGTCGGCACCAACCCGGGCATTGGCACTGCCGTCGCAGGCCACGCCTATGCCCACCCTTCCAATCTCTTCTGGAAACTGCTGCACTCGTCCGGTCTGACGGATCGCCGCTTGAAGCCAGAGGAAGATCGTGGTCTACCAGCGTTGTACTGCATGGGCAACACGAACATTGTAGAGCGTCCTAGCAAAGACGCCGCAGAGCTGTCCAAGGAGGAAATGGCCGCAGGGACCCAGAGGCTAGAAGAAAAGATTCGATCGTTTAGACCAGAGGCGGTGTGTATTGTCGGTAAAGGCATCTGGGAGGCTGTTTGGAGATATAGATTTGGCAGGGGGATGAGAAAAGGTGAGTTTCGGTATGGGTGGCAGGATGTAGAGCAGAATATGGGCAAGGTTGATGGTGATGGTGGATGGGAGGGCGCAAGAGTGTTTGTGACGACGAGTACGAGTGGGCTTGCGGCGAGTCTGAAACCAGCTGAGAAAGAGGCGATTTGGCGGCCGTTTGGAGAGTGGGTGAGGAAGAGAAGAGAGGAGAGGGGATGGGTTCCGCAGGTGGCGTCGAGTGATGCTGTCAATCAAAACAACCCACAAACATGACGGCCATTACACGAACCAATTTGACCGAAATCTACCTCTGATACACTCATCAGACTCGCTCATCCTTCCCACCCTCACTGACCCGGCCCAACAGTGCCCATAACCTTCTCCCACTCCGCACCACTATACCTCTTCCTCGCCGCCCGCTCAATCTCCCCCCACTCCTCCTCTGTATACCTCTTCTGCGGCTGCTACATCTAATCAGCACACCTCCCCTCCCCCCACAAAACAAACCCCCCTACCCACCCCTAACCCCAACATACCCCCGCAATACTCGTGTTCGCGCCCAGGAAACGCAGACCCTGGGGCTTCGCATCATACGAGATTTGCGTCCACGTGTGCAGATGCCGGTTATACAACGCCACGGTTTTGACATCGGAGTTGGGGGAGGGTGGGATGTCGTGGAGGTGTTGAGTGAGGCCGGGGACGCGGGGTGGGTTTGCAAGGGGAGAAGGAGTGAATATCATGGTGGTAGGGGGTAGGTATATAAACCGTAGTCTTGGCGCTAATACCGCACTCTCGTTGCTTTTCCCTTTATGACCAACACTGCCGGCAGCAGTTGGTGCAGGGAACAACGGCGCGTGGCGGAACAGTGGTCCCGGACGCTGTGTGTGTGAGTTGGCGAGGGGTTTGCAGAGGAGTTTGTGGGAGGGGTGGTCGGTGGTTTGGCAGGTGGGGGAGGTGTGGCAGCGGGTGCTGAGGGAGGGGTGGTGGCAGGTTGTGCAGAGGTTGGGGAGGGGGTGGGGAGGAAGTCTTCGTGGATGAGGGGGGTGCCGAGGTCTTGGGTGAGGGAGGACATTGGTGGAGGGGGTGCTGGGGAGGAGGGCTAGGGTTTCGCTAGGGGGTAGAAGGTGGAGGTGGAAGTGGAGGTGGAGGTAGTTGGGATGTGGTTTGTGGTTTATGGTTTGATCGGGGCGTTGGGGGTGGGCAAAGTTTATTTGTTAGATGGTGGACTGGGAGGATGGGGGCGTTGGGTGGGTAAAGTGAAGGATTGGAAAGATGTAGTGGATTGAGCAAAGAGAAAGATATAGGTATAGGATGAGGCTAACATGTGCCCCTCACCTGTGTTTGATACAAACAGCTTTTACCATACCCTTGATACGAGAAGCTTTTACCCTATCGCCCCAGTACTCAAGCCATCAAACCGCCTAGCAAGGCCTAAACATCCACTGCGAAGGATGAAACAAAACATCAAAATCCACGCCCCCAAAAACACCAACTGCTGGAAACAAATCGCACTCTCCTCGCAAGCCAACGTTCCCCCCCTCACTCCTAACATCAAGCTCCTCATTGCCATCCCAGCCACCCTCCCTCTTCCCATTCCGTGTGAAGAAGACATCGATATCCAAAATCCTCCCCTGCTGCACCTGCTCATACAAAGGCGGATTTTTCGGCACAGAAAAAGTCATGCCGATTCCCACAACCTCACCAGGCTTGAAAGCAGTAGTAAAGTCGACCCCACCCCACGGATCATTCACATACTTTCTCCCATCATCGCCATGCACGCCTAGACTAGCGCGCTCCCAGCCCGGGAGCCGGAATGTGGGATACGGTGGCGCCACGAAACCGATGGCGATACCAGCGTCTGCTTCTTCGAGCGAGGAGCCGCCGCGGCCGATGCCTATGATTTTGAGCTCAAAGTAAATGGTCTTTGGGCGTTGCGTGGTGAGCGGCGAGTCCCAGAGTACAGAGTACACGGGGAGATTGGTGAGGATGCTGGAGTCTTTGCATTTGGCGTGGGTGCGGCAGCGCCAATGGCCTGCTTGGGGCTGGGGTAGTAGGTCTCCGAGGTAAGAGGGTGGTTTTAGGAGGGCGAGCTGGGCGTTTTGAATGGCGGCGTGTGTTGATGGTTGCAGATTTTGCGGTGGCCATAGTGGATTCATGTTCGTCCATGCCAACGCTCGATCGCCGTCTTCTGCAGATGCGTTCGCGGTGGGAGAAGTGTCATAGCCCATGGAAGGAGGAGGGGGTAAGAGTGCGGTATCAGGGATGACGGTCCAGTCGTGGTATGGCGGAGGATCCCAGCTTGGGGGTGGTTGCGATGGATAAGATGGGGGTGGACCTGGTGGTGGTACGTACTCGGATGACTTGTTTGGAGGTGGCCCGGGGGGCGCATTGTATCCTGAAGTATGATCTGGCGGTGGACCTGAAGGGGCCGTATACGCTGGCCTGGATGACGAAGATGCATCGTAGTACGGTGGTGGGTTAGAAGGCGCCTGGTACTTTTGTGTAGGGAGGGCATTATGCTGTTGCTCTTGGGACTGCTGATAGTACTGATTATTCGACTGGGATGACTCTGCCGCATGTTCATCCCCCTTTATCTTTTCCTTCAGCTTCTTGAGCATGGTGACTGAAGTTCGAGATATCTTCAAGCCAGCGAAGCGTGCAAAGGTTGTCGGCTATGTTCCCACAAGTCCAATGTCAGAAGTGTGATGTTGCAAGGAAGTACGAGAAGCTACAATGAATATGGTACTGGTGTGTACCAGTCATAGGACCTCAGGCATGCGGGCGCAGCAGTGATATGGGCGTTGTGGCTGTGCAGTCAATGTCCTTGACTACAGTACGTCATGGCCCTCTAGTGGGGCACTACACTTCCCCCAGTTAACAGAACAACCTCACAAACTTCCCCAACGCTCTCTTAACACTAGCCCAAAACTTCGCCCAATCTATAGATTCCCACGCCTTATCCATTAGCTGAGTGCCAACCAGAGCGCCGACAATGCCAAACAGAAACTTTTGTCTGCATTGAACCAAAACGCAAGATACTCATTCAAGCACTATGTTTTTTACCCTCTCTTTCCTATTATGCTTCAATCTCTTACACAACTCCCCACCTCTGCGTTATGTTTTCCCCGTGGACACGCATCAAGGGCCTCATACGGGCACAATCTTATGAGCGGTAGGTAGGAAGTTTGAAATCATGGATGCAACTCGTTCAAGGTGCACAGCACACCGTGTATAAGTAGCAACAACAGCAGAGAGAAATAAACATCGAGTTCCCTTTCTTCTTCCTCTCAAAAGAGCGGTAGGAGTGTATGATCGGGATACATATCATCCATCTCGAATATTCATCTAATTTACATGCCTATACCCCGTACACACACCCCTCCTCTACCTCCATCATTCCCCATCCCCCTCCTTGCTCCTACCTGCCCTGACCACCTTGTCGCAATTCAGCAGACACAAGGGATCAAACGCCTTTTTGAGCTGCCTCATAGCATCCACAGTACTCTGGCCCAGCTCCTTGGGCAAGTAATCGCGTTTAACGAGGCCGACGCCGTGTTCGCCCGTGGCGGTGCCTTCGAGTTCAATGGCGCGCTGGACCATGGTGTGCACGAGGCGTTTAGTTTTTTCGTATTCGGTGGTGCGGTTGTAGAGGATGATGGCTGGTGGGGGTTTGGGGGTGGTTAGTTGGGTGTTTGTCTGTGTGTCATGTGACAGAAGAGGGCTTTTGAGAGTGCTCAAACATGGACTTACAGTGGAAATTACCGTCACCGACATGTCCTACGATGCTGCCTAGCAGCCCGCTCTTGCTGATGGCTTCCTTGGTCTCCTCGATGATCTGGGGGAGTTTAGAAATGGGGACTGCGACGTCCGTGGTCCAGACACCCATGTCGTCCCGGCCCTGGCTCTTCGCCATGACGGACCACAAGGCCTCCTTGCGCGCCTGCCACAGATCTGCTTGTTCCCGCTCCGACTTTGCGAATTCAAAACTCACGGAGCCCGCCTTCTTGGCCATGGCTTGGACCTGGCTGATTTGCTCCTTGACCGCATTGGGTGTGCCTGCAAACTTGAAGAAGAGCGTGGGCGCGTTTTTCCACGTCCTGGAGGTTTGGCCAGCGTCGTTGATACACTTCATTTGCACGTCATCGAGAATCTCAATCGCGGCAATGGGTACACCTGCGCCTACAACCTTGAAGACACAGTCTGCGGCGGAGCGGATGGTGGGGAAGGCGCAGACGGCTACGCTGGTGTGTTGTGGCTTTACAGTGACCTTGAGTGTAGCTTCGGTTACAAGACCCAAGGTTCCTTCACTGCCGACGAACATGCGTGTGAGATCGTAGCCTGCAGAGGACTTCCTTGGCCTTTGACGAGTCTTGATGATGGTCCCGTCAGCCAGGACGACTGTGAGCGAGATGACCCAGTCCTTCATGGTGCCGTATCGGTACGCATTCGTGCCCGAACAGCCCGTGGCGACCATACCGCCAATCATTGCACCTGGACCGGGGTCTGGAGGAAAGAATAGGCCATCCTTTGCCAATTCGTCATTCAGGTGTTCCCAACCAACAGCTGGCTGCACGACAACATCCAAATCGTCCTTGTGTAGCTGAACGATCTTATCCATGCGACTAAAGTCAATGCAGACGCCTCCTCTTGTAGCTGCGAAATGGCCCTCCAAACTGGTACCGCCGCTGTAAGGGGTGACTGGAATCTTTCGTTCATGGCAAATTTTCATAATGGCGCTGACTTCATTTGTATCTCCTGGCTTCACCACGCAGAATGGCACGTCGCGGGGCGCGGATGGATGTGAAGACCATGACGATCCACTATGCGACTCGAGATCGTGCTTGTCGAGCGAAATATTCTCCTTGCCCACGATATCGTGCAGGTCTGTCCATGCGGCTTCCATGTTGGCTTCGGAGATATTGTGTTTGGGCGGTAGAAAAGTGCTCAGGGGAGCAGTCGAGCTCGTGTCTGGCTTCGGGGGGATCATTTGGCCATAGTAGTAGCCTATGCCGGCAGTAAGGAGACAAGCTACAAGAAGATTAGTATACGCCCCATCATCCATACAGTAAACACAGTCTTGATATAACGGCAAGTCTTGAAATCGTCCCTACCAACAATAGTTGCAAAAAACTGCCCCCGCGCCGTTCTCTGCTGCAACGACTGAATCTGCAATTGTTCTGCCTTTTCCTTTTGCACACGCTCATAGATACTCTCGTTCAACTGCAGATAAAACGGCCTCTCGCCATCACTGTCCCTGTCCCTATCGTCCTTGCCCTTGCTCGCCCATCGTCGTTGTGTCCATTGTCCGAGGGCGACAGGCACTCCTGCCTGAACTCCGCACGCGCGCCATGCTGCGTTTGATGGCCGCACACTCGGCCCACGACTCCCCGGCCGCGGTAAGGCAATTGGCACCCGCGGTAACCTTGGTAGCGACATTGCGACTATGAGCGCAGGTATCTCATGCTGTGCGCGTGGCGACGGTGCAGATGCGGGGAAGACAGTCTGGCCATGCGAACTCGGTCGGTTGTAAGGCAACCTTGGAAGTCAGTGAAGATTTGCTTGGCAGCGGAATTAACTTTGACAAAGCTAAATCCGACCCACCGCTTCGGATCAAGGCTGAAAGTCATCTGTATTTAATCCTTGTTTGAGAACAAGTACCTAGGTATGATCGATGAAAGAAGTGTGCAAGGGATTGCAATCGGCCTCTTAAGCATCTGTAACGGCCACCCAGAAGAAACCATTAGCCATGATCATGCAGTCTGGCCATGGTTTTACCATCTCATGCAACAACTCTACATCATCTCACACGATCAATTTTGGCTAAATTCACTGTCAAGCACTTGATGAGGCATCTGATAGTGAAAACCAAACGTATTCCGAAAGCTCCATGGCCTCAGCCAGAGCGAATAGCAAACTCAGTCCCAAATTCCCAGTCCCACTCAGCCCGCAATACCTTGAAATAGGTGCAGTGCTGGTATAGCCAAACCCCCCAGAAAACAAAAACAAAAACTTGCCAAACGCCCAAAATCCCTGCGTCAATGTATAACCAGCATGTGCAAAACGGAGTCAAAGGCCCCCGCAGAGCGCAAGTGATATACGGCTGGATCTGAAGACATGTGCGCGGATGTGCAGCATAAATGTCGGAACGCATGAATCGTCAAAGCAGCCGTTACAGGATAGAAAACATAGAACGCTATGCAGGAAATCAAGAAGAAGGAAAAAAAGTATGGAAATGAAGAAGGCAAGGGGTATTGATGACAGCGAATGCAAGATGCATGTATTCCACATATAGTTGTGTGGTGGAGTGGGAAAATGGAGCTCGAAAGGATCAACCAGTACGAGAGGAGATTGATGATGGCGGAAGGCGGAACCAGGATGTCGGGGTGGGGTAGAGTGAGCGTGGTGGATCTTAGGTATCGTGTACGTGGTTGCGTGGCAGTGCACGTCACCAAGGCCCCATGCATGCCAATCAGCCCCCCGACAGACGTAGCAGCCTCGTCTTGAGCCAAGTGACGAACCTCAGCCATCTTCCCTTGACGGCGCGGCTCCTAGTGACCTCGGGCACCAGACCCGTCTGCTTCTCGGGGTCAATGGTCGTCACATACTTGGGCAGAGAGTTGCTGTGGGCCTCGCGGTGGTCGGAGTACTGACGGCCACCTACCGAGGGCCGACCGCTGATAGAGGGTCGCGAGACCTTTTCGTTCTCGGGGTCGGAAATAGTGCGGGAGCGCATGTAATCAGCTCGATCGTGCGTTTCGGACTGACGTCTCTGATGGTCCTCTTTCTTCAATTGCTTGCGATGGTCGCGTTCCAGCTGCTTGTACGCTTCCTTTTCATATTTGCGCTCTTTGGCTCGCTGCTCTTCCTCAAACTTCTGTCGCGCCGCTCGAATGGAGGCAGCTCGGGAGGCAGCATCGATGGGCGAATCACGACCGCCACTAATGAATTTGTAGGTTCGATCAAAGGACGTGCGTGAACTTGGAGACGTGGTGGTGTCGATAGACTTCAACGTGTCTCCCCTTGACCGTGCGATCCCTACAGGCGATGTCAAGGATACCGAGGATTGCGAGTAGCTGCCAGCGAGTCGTGTGGACGAGTTGTTGGAATGAAGGCGCAGGGGTGCACCCTGGGTAGATGAGGAGATGGAACCGGATCGACGAGAGGGATCAAACGCATTTTGCCTCGAACGAAGCTCGTCATCGGACATGATGTCGCCGTTCTCGTACTCACTTTCCAGCACCGAGGGCGGGGAGGACCTGGGCATGGGCGGTGAGTAGGGTTGGGGTGCCTGGCGGATTGGGGGCAAAGGTGTTGGTCGCGTCAGACCGCCCGAGGAAGTGGAGAACTGCGACGTGTTGGACGTGGAGCGGGCGTGGCGATTGCGGCCGTTGACAGAGGTGAAGGTGACATCGGTGATGGAGGGTGAATAGCCATCGTACTCGGAGATGCCGAGGCCAGCAAGGTCGTTCTCTGCAGCCGGTCGTGAGAGGTCCAGGCCGCTGCTCTCTCTGTGGGAGAGCTTCTGGCGCAGGAAGGGCTTGATCTTCTGGGTGGGCATGGCAGACGGCATTGGACGTTGTGGCTGCTCCGTCCAGGCGGCTTCCTCGATGACCTGGGGCGTCTCGGTGCGACTGAAGGAGAAGCTGCCCATATCAGGCACCGGACTCAGGGCACTCCTCTGCGATGAGGCGGAGCGAGAGCGTTTGTGCAGACGCCCGGACGTGGAGGGCACATGCCTCGAGGTGGCCATGGTGAGGGTCGGACGCTCGCGGTGCTACAGGTCCCGCATGTCAGGTGTAAATAAGAATTGGGGGGGGGGATGGTGGCACAAGTATCCAAGACAACCTCATGCTACTACTGTACTCTCCTCGCTCCTCTATGTAGCGGCCCTGGCTTGGGGGGTTTGCGAGGGTTCCGCGGCGCAGCTACAAGAAGGGCGGGAAACCGCAAGAATGGTGACGAAGAGCAGGCGTGTCAGGCGCCTGGTACGGGCCGCCAGTGCGGACGGCCGGAGGATCGAATCCAAGATTCAGGCGGGAATCGATGGCGAGCTACTGGACTTGGGACGGGACTGTTGAGAAGCCTCCAGGCTAAGAGTACCAGCCAGTTTGACCTAGGTAGAGCGCGTTCGAGGGCGAAGCTCGATTACGTTGGTGGGTGGCGCGCAAGCCTGTAGCCACCAAGAAGACTCCTCAGCAACCGCAGCAGCTGGGGCGGCGGGCGGCATATGCATCCATATATACTATGTGCCTAGGTAGTAGACGGGTAGGGTAGGGCAGGGTAGGGTGCCTACTCTACTAAAGTAGGTCTCGTCCCATGGACTGCCGGCGAGGGCGGCGGCGTGGGATAAGCTGTGTGGGGAAGCGGAGTGGCCCAGGTTCTATTCAGACTAGCAAGTTCGACTGTTATCACAATCACAATGTATTTGGAACGTGACATGTAGCTAGGCAGGCGGTAAGGATCTGGTTCTTCTTCGAGGCATCGTGGGTTCTCGGTTCTCACGGCCCTGGACAGCGAGTGGCCGGGCCCACCACACCGCCTGGCGGCTGTTTGACCACATCACGATGTCGTGGGGATTGCGCGTCTTGCAACTCGCAACAAGACCTCTTTCTCCTCTTTGGCCCCGCCTGGCCAGCAAAACCACGCAATCCAAGCCACGGCTCAGCTCAGCCCGCTGCGGACAAGTTGCCGCCACCACAGCCCAGTGCAGTGCCGTGCCTCAGACGTCTGATGCTGCCGTCGTCTCAGGACTGCCACTGGCGATCGAGTGGATACTTGGCATCTACAGCAACTTGCCCAGAGTGCATACTACAAGATGTACAATACATAGGTTGCAAATGGACACCATTCGGTCTGGCGGCTAGGTACACCTAGTCCTGAAATGGTCGCTGATCGTAAGCGCCATCTTATGGCAGACCATGGCTGGCTGATTCGATCGTCTCATCTCACCCCAATACATAGCAGATACTATGTGCCTTGGGCTACCTACAAATCAGAGCACTCTACCAGAACCATCTTTTCTGCTCTCAACCTTCTTGCCGCCAAGGCTGACCGCCCTTTCTCCTCTCAACGTGATACGCTGCGAGTGCTGCAAACAACGGCCATGTGTGCGTCGTCCATGAATCGTAATGCTGCAAGAGGAAAGAAACTGCGTCTTGGACAGACAGCTACCTTCTCATGTACTCCTACATAGTACATACAAGTCTTCTACCGCACGTACTGTGAGGTAGAGTAAGTACATGCTAGACCGACAGCCTGTATGTGGTCCACTCCGAGGCTTCCGTCACCCAATCGTCGCCCACCCACACCGCCGTCAGGCTTTGATGCCGGTGTGCTGGTGGTTTCGAAGGTATGCACGTGGCCAAGGCTGCTATGCAAGGTCTCGAACATGTGGAGTTAGGTAGAGTAGATGGTTGACTTGTAGTACATCCCTATACTGCGCGACTCGGCCACCATCCTTTCCCTTTCTTCCAGCGCTGCAGCATGGCGATGCTCAACAGTATGAGAGGTGTGCAAGAAGGCGGGGGGGTAAGGGAGCAGCGAGAGCCAGTTTTGCTGATGGTCTCCACCATCGGTGAGCTGCCTCACATAATTTCTAGAGTAGAGTAGGTAGGTAGTATGTAGAGTCTAAGCAACCCGTTTCATCCCAGAGTATGGAAATACCCGAGAAGCTTTTCCTTGCCATGGCTCCAACACAGATGGCGATTGGCTTTGGTTCCTGCTTTGGACAAACTTTGACCATTCTTGGTACTTGTGTTGAAGACAAGTGGACGAACAGAGTGTAGCAGCCAGCCATCGCAAGCTCATTGGGTGATGGCGTGATCGATCCCATCGAGCATAATGTAATTAGGCACCTAGAGTAGCTTCTCACTTTGGTACATTTCCCCTTCCTTTGGCCGGCATACAGTAGGTATTGTATTCCAGTCTATCATGGAGAAACATGGCCATCATAGCTGAGGATTCGTGGCAGATGATGTGATCAGGATAAAAAGTTAGATTGGCTGCAGGATCAAAGTATGGGTAGACTGCTCGCGGCCCTCCTACACACATCCCATGAGATAAGATGACATGTACATGACTTGTCTCAGTCACTGTGGTTTAATTGCCAGATCAAACAATAAAGAAACAGAAAAGTAAGAAGGGGATAAACGCGAGAGAGCAGAGGTCGTGGTGGTGGTGGTGGTTGCTAGGCAGTGTTCCATGTGTGTACATGGAGAGACTGCGTAAAGGTGCAAGACCGACCGCCCGATGCGCGGGGGAGCCCGTGCACAGTCGCTCCTCTTCACTTCGTCCAATGTCGCCAGCCTCAAAACATTTTGAAGGCTTCACGCCCCAAATCGTCAACAGCCCATCGACCACCACCCACGCTCCCACGCGCCCTTCACCCGAATGGCCCTGAACTAACACCGCTGCCGCCGTCGCCGCCCGAAATAACACGCACGCACACATATCGCGACTGCACTGCCGTCCGTCGTCCTTCCACGCGACCATGTCGGCCAAGCGAGCCAACCTCTTTTCTCAAGGCCGGCCGGACGACCCTTACCAGGACCGTGATGGGCCTCCAGATCCGCCCAAGCGGGCCACGGCAGCACAGATGGCAGCCCGCAAGTACGTCTGCCCTGACTGTGACGAAGCGCACCGCGACGCGGCCACCTTGTCTTGTCGCGTCACAGCGCCCTTTGTCCCTCATCCATCTTTTCATACGCTGACTCTTTGTCCTCTAGAATCAAGAGCGTAAAGCCGCGACGACCAGGCGCATCCTCCGTGAGTAAAAGTCCCCTTCCGTAGTACAGCTGCACATCCTCGACCGTATCCTTCCTACCGCCGGCGCTATGCCGCCACCGCCAGCGAGATATACGATCGAATGGCGCAAGGCCGAGGCCAGGCGTCGTCGCCAGAAGGAACTGTGCCAGGCGCCTCAAGCGGACATTGGCACTTGTACCTACTCTGATACTGACCTGGAGATGCAGGGCATGTCACAAAGCGCCAACTTTGGCAGTCCGTTAGGCGGCTTCGGATCGCCCGCGCCCGGCGAGAACGGTACCAGCTCCTTCACTGGCTTCGGGGCAGCGAATAATGGCAGCAATGATGTCTTTGGAGCCGGCACAACCAACAGCTTCCCGCCTGCACAACCGCCAGCACCGAGCAACAACTTCTCGAATTCCTCTTTTCCAGCCTTCGGCACCAGCACACCGGGCACCAACTTCAATCCCCAGCCGCCCTCTTCCAACGGTTTCAACTTCTCCGTTGGGTCCGTCAGCAACAACCCATTTGGAGCATCTGCGCCCGCGCCTGCGAAGAACGGAGACACATCAACGCCAGCATTCGGCGGCTCATCGCTCTTCAGCTCGCAAGGCCCGAGTAGCCTGTTTGGTGGACCCACACAAAACAACACAAACTCAGCACCGTCAGGCAGCATGTTTGGAGGAGCGACTGGCAATGCCACTCAGAGCAATACCATGTTTGGAGCGACTAGCAGCGCACCACAGGCCAATAGTATATTTGGGGCGACTAGCAGCGCACCACAGAACAACAACATGTTTGCGCCAACTAGCAATGCATCTCAGAACAACTTGTTCGCACACACCAGCAGCGCTTCTCAAAGCAGCCTCTTCAGCAGCACCACCACCGCTACCGATGCGCCAAAGGCTGCGACGACTACCGCACCAGCCTCGACACCTTTCACATTTGGCTCTCCTGCCCCCGGCAACGCAACGCCGGCAACAGGCAGCCTGTTTTCTGGATTCGGCGCGTCCACTCAGACAGCACCGCCAGCAACAAGCACCATGTTCGGTGGATCCGGTGCGTCTACCCAGACAGCACCGCCAGCACAAAACAACGCTTTCAACTTCGGATCGAGCACACCGAATAAGGATCCCCCATCACAGCAGGCACAGAACAGCATGTTCGGCGGTACTTCCACGAGTGCGCAAGCGTCAACAGGCTTTGCTGCGACTGCACCTGCACCTGCTTCCAACTCTCTCAACTTCGCCTCGGCGACTTCCAACAGCAACGTATCCACGCCCACACTTTTTGGTGCTTCTAGTGCTGCGACACCAAGTAGCACAGCGCCAGCAACAGCGCCAGCGCCTACATCAGGCCTATTCAGCTTCAATCCTACCGCACCGAAGAATGACACGCCTGCGCCCAGTGCGTTGAATACATCAAGCGCCCCGACAGCGAGCTTCAGTGCGCCTGCGCCAGCATCAACGCCAGCTGGCAATCCATTTGCAAACCTGGCACCTGCGTCAGAATCAACGAGCGTGAAACCTTCACTGTTCACTCCAAGCTTCACTCCACAGGCTCAGGAAAAGGCCACCTCGACGTCAAACAACCTGTTCAGCGGTCTCACTCCATCGAAGCAAAATAATGATGCATCCTCCGAGACACCAAAGGCAAACCCTTTTGCATCGCTCACAAAGCCGGCGAGTACACCCACAGCGGCGCCGGCACCGACTTTCTCAGGATTTGGCGGTTTTGGAGCTGCACAGAAGAAAGACGGCTCGTCTGGTGATTCTAAAACGCCTTCAGATTCCTCCCATGGGCCTGGCGCATCGAAGCCAGGCTTGTTCAATGCATTCAGCACGCCACAGCCTGCAAAGACGGCTGATGTAGACAAGCCCGCGTTCAATACTGTGCAATCGAAGCCGGGCACTGGCCTCTTTGCCAAGCCTTTCACGTCGTCGTCGTCGGAATCGTCCATCTTCAATCCGGAGGCATTCAAGATGGATCCCAAAACTTCGGGGTTTTCAACCCCCAATAAATCCTCAGAGGAGGCACCCAAGGAGGCGCAGAGCACCCCTAGGGAGTCCAACCCCTTCAATCAGCAATCCACACCAGCAAGTGAACGTCCCAATTTGTTCAGTGCGCCTAAGGAGACACCCGCAGCATCTCCAGCTCCTCAGCCTTCGACCTTCACTGGTGCCAGTGCTGGTACATCCAGAGCTTCGGAGTTACCAAAGGTTCCCAAGGTTCTTGTTCCCAAGTCATGGCCTCAGCCAGGTTCGCTAGCTGCTCTAGATACGAACGGAGTCCATCACCATATCGCAGAGTTAACTGCGCAGCTTCAGTTATTAAACGACAGGTACAGACAGCAGCTCATCAGTTTACCTTTGCCGGCGGACTGGTCTGCCATCTCCTTGTGGCACTACCAACATGCTTCCGATATCAAGAAGAGGATCGACAACGCAAGGAAGCAACGTGCAGCTGCCAATGGAGTCACCGGAACTGAATCAGCTTTATCAGTAAAACGCAAGGTAGCCGAGGACAGTTATGAGAATCAGGATCCCTCGCCATCCAAGCGGGCTCGTGGTGGTGATGCACCCGCAACACCAACCCCTCAACCCTCTGCCCCTACGCCGAGCCTGCAACCGACGGCAACATCAACATCAAACATGTTCGCCAAGGCCATCAACGGAACCAAGTCTTCGTCCTCATCTGCAGGATCGGGCCTCTTTACCCCACAGAAGGCCGATAAGGCGCCAATTGAGCCAACGAAATCGACCCCAGCGGCATCAGGCTTCACCCCTTGCCTCTTTACCTCCACTGCGTCTTCATCCTCTGGCTTCAAGCCTAGCTTTGGAAGTACGCCAGTAGGTGGTTTCAAGCCCTCAACCGGTTCTTCGAGTGGTGGCAACTTCATGAGCCAGTTCAAGAAGGGAGCGAAAACCTATGAAGAGCTTTACGCGGAGCGAAAGGCCAAGGCGATGGCAGAGGATTTTGATGAAGATGACGAGACCGAGGAAGAGTGGTCTGCTAGGTATGATAAAGAGGAGGCTGAGCGCATCGCCAAAGCGAGTAGGCAGGTCGCAGAAAGTACCCCCAGCTTCGGTGCTGTTGGCTCAGCAACGTCGTCCGGTACCGCCACTCCTACCGCAGCTAACCCCTTTTCAACTCTGAAGAAGCCTGTTGCCCCAACATCGGCCTCGAATGCCTCCACACCTCGTGCTGGTAGTCCCGCATCGTCCACTGGTAGCCAACCTGTGCTTTTCACGGCAAGCAATGCCCCTACATCTGCCAACATATTTGGGCATCTTTCATCTGGTCCATCTTCAAACCATGAAGAAGAGTCTGATGAAGACAATGGTGAACACCAACCTGTTGGTTCAGGTGAGCCCATGACGCCGCCAACACGCCAAAGCGGTGACTCTGCGGTTGAGAAGGACGAGTCGTTTGGGGAGAGCGCAAGAGGCAAGAAGCAAGAAACTGGGGATAGCTCCAAGGGCAGTCTTCTTTCAAGGATGACGAGAGATGACTCCAATGATTCCGGTTCCGAGAAGGGTGACGGTAGTACATTTGCTTTTGGACAGTCGAGCGGCGCACAAACCCCGACAAACAAGCCATTCTCCTTTTTCGATTTCGGCGCTGCCAGCTCGAAACCCTCTAGCCCCAAGCCTGATACGTTTGCCGGTGACCAAACGTTCAAGCCTGGAACTCCCATTAAATTCAATGAGACTCCAGCTACCGATAAGAAGGGTTCAGCACCTCTCTTCCAGTTCCAGCCTGCCACCCCTGCACCGGGCGAATTCTCAACCACTCCAGCCAAACCACCACCCACGTCACTTTTCAACTTTGCTCCATCTACTGGCGGATCGTCATTGTTGCCACTAAGCGCAGGGCTTTCCAGTGCAAGCTCCATGCCATCATCGGTCTTCTCTTCCCGCGCCGGAACACCTCTCTCGGAGGGCGATACCAATGCGTCTGCTGCGGAGAACGATGAGGAGGAGGAGGAAGGCCAGGCAACACAGGTCGACTTTTCGCAACTTACTCCAGAGGAGACTAATGCAAATGACGTGGTTTTCCACACAGACGTCGTGCTTGCCAAGCATCAGGTTGATGACGGCAAACAAAAAACTTGGGCAAACCTGGCAAAGGGACCCATCTGGATTCTCAAAGACAAGAAGACTGCCAAGTGCTTTGTTCGCATCCGCCTTCCCAACGGATCAACCCCTCTCAACTACTCCATCCTTCCCTCGATCCGCGCCACCGTGACGGGTAGCAGCAAGAAGATGGTCCTCACATCCAAGCCAGCCAAGGAAGGTGGTCTGCAATCCATCCTATACGCAGTCAAGTCGCCAGAACTCGCCGAAGAGTTTGCCACAAAGTACAACGACTCCTTGCCTTCTTCCTAATTACCCCAAAATTCTCATTCCCCCCTTTTTTCGACCCAAGGTGCACACCCAGTCTATCCCCCACGCCTATCTCCCTGCCGCCCCTACCCTTGCACATTTGCAACCTTGGCCTTTTTTTTTTCCGTGTCTTGATCGTCACGACACCCTGTTTTTATAACAAAATTGGAGCCCCTTCTTCCCCAATCCCCCTTGGGTCTACATTGCCTGTGATGCGAGCTACGACATGTCCCCCTTCCCCCTGCCCCGAATGATATGTCGGCGTCGAAACGGGCTACTTTTGGCAGCATTTGTTTTTGCGCATGCATGGCCCGGTGTTTGTTTTTTACGTCTAGTAATTTTGATGGATACTTTATTATTGTTGTTGTTGGTGATGGTGGTAGTGGTAGTAGTAGTGGTAGGGGTGATGGTAGGGGTGATGGTGGTTGTAACCCCCCCCCCTCCGCTCCTCGAGGAGGATCCTGCTTATTGTTTTCCCCAGTAGCTTTAATAGAAATGGCCCGATGGTGCGATGTACCTTTGAGCTGAAGAAATATGTACACATTTTGAATTGGGGGTTGTCTTGCCCCCCTTTTCCCCGCGCAACTACATCATCGTGTGTTTTTTTCCATGCATTATGACGTGGTTGTTTGGTGGCTGGCTAGATGAGAGGAACAAAAAACATTCCTGGATTGATTTTCAGTTCCAGTTCTACTTCCACCTACCCCCACCCTTAACACCAGGCTTCCTGGTCACTGCGATATGTGTATGTATACTGAAGAAAAGCAATGGGTTTGATGGGTTTGTTTTGGTAAGGGCGCTCGCCGAGTTTGCGGGTTGGAGGGGAGGGGGAGGGGGAATAGAATGTGTGTCTCGGTTTTATTCATTTGATTTGACTTGGCTTGGTGGGGTGTATGCTTGTGTGTATGTCTGTATGCTTGTCCGAGTGAAGAAATCAAGTCTGACTATGCCGATGCTATCGTGGTGGAAACAGAAGGGCAAAATAAAGTCTGTGATTCTAGAACGAACAAGCGTCGAGGGTGGACAAGATGGGTTTGAAATGTACCAAAAACATGGGCGCTTGTCTGTTCAAGGTAGTGCGCTGGACATGAATAAACTGTTTGATTTGGAGAAGACTAGCAGAGTTTCTTTGCGAGTCGGCTCCGTTGCAATGCAGTGCTAAGTTGGAACAGAGAGATACAAGGATCAGAGTGTATACAAGGATGTGCAAGAGGATGGAAAACAGGCTGGCTGGCTGGCTATGTGGTGATGCAGGGATAATCCGGGGTATACACATGCTCTCCCTGTCCAAACGCGAGGGAGGAAAGGTGAAGAGAAAAGGGAGGAGAGACAATAAAGGCAAAATCCAACAAATGCGCTTCACTCGCTTTCAAACCCGCATACCAAAACAAAAGCCAAAAGAAAAACGAGAATCAAAAATTCAACGTCATATCGACAACCCTCACTCCAAAATCCTACTCTCTCCATTTCCCAAATCCTGAAATCTCACATCCTCCAACTCCCCTACCCCTTGACCTCCAACCTCCCGCAGCGCCTCCTGCACCGTCCAGACCCTGCGGCGCAGAAACCACGACACCAACCCGCCACCCTTCTTCACCTCGTCATGCGTCGCAACCCAGTACTTGGCGCGCAGTAGGCGCTGGGCGAGCAAGCCGTTGCGCGCACCGAGATTGAGTTGTTGGGCGGCGGAGATGGAAACGTCGTGGAGACCGTGGAGGAAGGCGAGGGTGTGTAAAGGGGGGTCTGCAGTGGGGATGGGGGAGAGTGCTTGGTGGGGAATGCCGTGCGGGGTGTAGACGATGCATTCTGCGGGTTCAGAGGCCGAGGGGGAGTAGTGGGTGTCGTCGGCGGTGTCGCCGTGGATCGAGAGGGAGGGGCGTTGTTTTTTGGGTGTGGTGTTGGGGAGGAAGGGGTGGGTTGCGAAGGTGATGAGGAGGGCGGAGTGGTAGAAGAGGCTGTCTTTTGGGGCTGTGAGCCGCGAGATGCTGAGCCAGGTGGGGAGCGGGGGGAGGGAGTAGTCGTGCCAGTCTGCGTGGGTGGGGAAGGTTGGGGTGGGGGTTACGGTGCGGAAGTGGGACCAGGAGGATATGAGGGTTGCGGCTTGCTGGTGAATGGGAATGGTTAGTAGGTTGCTTGGTAGGTTGGTTGATGGGTTGCAGTGTGTGGAATCATCTTGGGGGGGTTTTCTTTCTTCAAACTCACCTCGGTCGCAAAGACGGGTACATCGCTATGCAGCTCCAACAGCGTCTCCTTGTGACAATGATCCGTAAATTCATGGCTAATCGCCACAACATCTATAAACGACTCCTCCTTCTCCTCCGCCTCGTCTTCGTCCATCAACCTCCCCCTCCCCTTCCCCCTTCTTCCCCCTACCCTCAGCCCCCCCGCCAGTATCTCCACCTGCCGTGCCAACTCTTCCACCTCCGCCACACTCCTCACCGCACTCTCCGTCGCATGATACTGCTGCGAGAACCAGCGCGCGACATCCGACTGGCCACCAACAAACCACGGGTCAATCAGCACGTTGTAGTAGATGCGACTGCCGTGCTTGACTGCATTCGCCGGCCGTGGTATCTGCAGCAGCCATGAGGTATCCGCGTTCAAGTGGTGTAGGACGGGTCGCCGCGTCGCAAAGGATTTTACAACCGCGTCGCGGATCTCGAGGTTGAGTTGGAGAGAGGGCGCGTCCATGATTTTGTCTTTTTGGTGGAGGCGGAAGGGCTGGTTTCCTTTCAGATACGTCGGAAGGGAAGCATGGCGTGGTGTGGTGAAAGTCGGTGGGTTGGGGGACGCGTGTGAAAGCGCGTTGGGGCGCTAGTGACGTGGTTGGTGGTTTGGGTGAAGAGAGCTGGTGTAGATCATGACGCAGGGGTTCGTTGCGCCATGGATTTCCTACTCGGTAGGTACATGAGGCGGACAAGGTACATACCATTCTCTTGGAATTGCATCTTGAATTTCCATAATGCTAGCCATCTCGCCATATTCCAGATACCTAGGATGATCGGCCAATCCAGTCATGCACGCAAACACACCCCGTCCATCAAACATACAGCCCCCAAACCCAATACCCCCCTTCCCTCCACGCCCCATTCAAAAACACCTTCTCCTTCTCGTCTTTCCACCCGACCTCCGTAAACCCCAACTTCCTCAACACGCCCTTACTCGCTGGGTTCTCCTCATCCACACAAGCTTCAATGTAGAACCTCGTGCTCGTCACCGCTTTCTCAGGCGCAACAAATGCTGCATACGCGTCAAGTACTGCACCAGTTGCTTCCGCCGCATACCCCTTCCCCCTCGCTGCCTCAAAGAATGCGTAGCCTAGGACTTGGAGATCCGTTGTAGCATGTGCAGATGATGCATCCTCTGTGGTGGTGCTGGGGCCTGGAGGCTGCAGTGTCGGTCCACCATTCTGTCGACGTAGGCTTATGCTGCCGAGATGTCGACCTAGTTCTACATGTCCTTCCTTGTGCAGTGCGACCTCGCCCTCGGATGGCTTGGCAAATACGGCGTAGAAGAGGATGGAGGTCTCGGTGAGTTGCTGCACCATGCGCTCTCCGCTTTCTTCGAGCGATTTGGAGGCGCCGCGGAGACTCCAGGATGTGGCGGCGACGTCGGACCAGTTCTCGTGGTACCATTGGATGTGCTGGGATCCCGGGCTTGTGTCGTGTAGGCGGACGAGTGTCAGGCGCCGAGTGTGGATTGGGGACTGCATGCTTGTAGATTGTGGGAGGAATGATGCTGTGGTGCTTCAGAAAGAGATGGAACTAGAGTAGGAGGTATATGCTGTTGGCATTGATTCAAGATGGGCGGCATGATATTACTACTGTCTGCAAACTTGTGTGATGACTGGCCATGAGTCAGATTTTGAAATCATCTTAGAGCTGGTCTGGAGGTTGCACCTCGTATCGAGAGCCGATGCCACTATGCCTGACTGTCTGGAGTGAAGTAGAGTAATACTCTAGATGAGCCTGGCGGTATGCCTTGCATGGAGGTGCTCATGCAAATACCCTGCTACCCTACCTATGGCCAAGTTGTGTCCTAGCGCAATGTTCCTCCACGTCAACACGTGATGACGTGTCCAAGCAAGTCCAAGGTATCCCAATCCCCGGCTCACGTGCTGCCCTTCTCTATTCTCCGTGTCTTTCCATCTCTCACCACCCACTCTGGTATGGCCATTTCTATGTTGGACTCTTGTCTCCAAGTCATACTTCAACACCCACCTTCCTGTCGCCTCTCCTAACCAAAAGGTAGTCCTCATTGTATCCTCGCAGATGCACATCTACTACCGAAGCCACGATAGAAATCTGGCTCGAAAGAGTCGTCCTTCGTAGTGCGGTGTGATCAAATGCGGCCCCTGTGCTGGTCGCTTGATATGCAACACGCTTCTGGGCATGCTCCGATACGGCCTGATTGCCGCAGCCTGGCTACCGCATGTCGATAATGACGACACTATATGGCAGCGCAGTATTTCCCCACTAGTCCTTGCCGTCTTTACTTTGGACCAAATCTCTCATGAAATCTTCTGCTTTGTCCGGTCAACTAATGTTGCTTGTGAACCCTTCTGCGGCGGAGATTCTTCGGAAACTTGGTCTTTCAATGGGAGCAATGTCTTCATCATGTAGACAAGATCTGCGGCCTTGAAGGGCTTTTGCATAACGCGATCCTGTATGCTGTTAGCAGATGACCAAGGCCACAATGTATCCCTACGTACTGCACCAGCCGCGATAGCAGTATCAATCTGCTCTTTTCGAACATTCGCAGTCACAGCAATGATTGGCAGCCGTTCACCCCCTGTCTGGCTTGATCCTTTCATCTTCGCTAGACCCTCTCCGAGAAGTTCTCTATTGCGGATCTGGCGCATTGCACCAAGTCCATCAAGCACTGGCATCTCCAGATCCATGAGCACTACATCAAATGACTGTTTTGCTAGGGTGTCCAGAGCTTCCAAGCCATGATTTGCCACTTCCACTTCCAGGCCTGCTTTCTTCAGTTGTTTGCCCAAAACCTTCTGGTTGATCAAGTTGTCCTCCACCAATAGAACGTGGAGCGGTCCAGCTGCTGTTTCAGATCCATCCGAGTTGCAACCGCCATTCAAGATTTGCGGCTGTCTTTTGGCTCGGCGTGTCTTGACGTAAAATCCAAATGTCGAGCCCTGGCCGAAGACGGAAGACACACCAATCTCGCCACCTTGCTTCTCTGTGAGTTCTTTTGAAATGAACAAACCAAGGCCGCTACCACCATATTGTACATGTGTCTTGACGCTCGCCTGCCGGAATCGCTCAAAGATCTTGTGGATTTCTTTTTGTTTCAGGCCGATGCCAGAATCCTTGACGCTGAATGTCAGATAAACTTCCTCGCCAGCTCCCCACTCTGGACTACTCGTCGGATCGTTGTATGATCTACGGTCTGTTGCCCAGAACATATTCTCCGGGAACAAAGACCGTGGATTGTCAAGGCAAGCACCGAATCGTATTGAGATTTGTGGTTCCTTTGCAGGTGTAACGAATTTGATAGCGTTGGTGAGGAGATTGATAAAGACTTGGGTGACGCGCGAAGGATCGAAGCAAAGATAGTCAATGTCCAGATTCGAGAGTGATGGGTCAGGATTGACATTGTAGGTGATTTGGTTAGATTTGAGTTCAGCCTCAAACATGTTGACAATGGAGTCTATCAACTTGGCTGGCTTGACTGCGACGGGTGTTATCGATAAGAGCATTGAATCCAGCTTGCTCAGCGTGAGGACATCATCGATGATACGCTTTTGGTGGTGAGCACATTGTAGGATAATCTTCGCGCTTTGCAGGCTTTCGTCGAGTGCCTCCACGCACGATTCTGGAATATTTGCAAGCTGAGTCTGGCATTCCTGCACGGCAATGGTGATAGCATCCGCACAATGCACGATTGCGCTGAGCGGATTTCGCATCTCGTGGGACACGACATCAATAAAGGCCTCCTGCTGGCGTTTCGCTTCTCTTGCCTCTGCGGCTAGTCGAGCTTGGAATGTCTGCGCCCACTTCAGGCGGCTAATGTCCGTCGTGCACGCCATGACTGATCTTACACAGCCAGTTTCGTCGCGATACGGGAAAGCTAGAACTTGCAATTGAGCTGGTTCTGGGTCACCAGACGGTGGACTATACATTCGCTTTATGCGCATTTCGGCCGTAACGTGGTCTGCACCTTTGACGAGGTCCTCCCAAATAGCTTCTGCTTTGCTGCGATCTTCCTCGTGGAACATGTCGAGAAAGTCCCAATCGCCAGTGTCGTGATTATTTGCGCTTTGTCCGGCTAGTTTGTAATAATGATCGTTCGCCCAGAGCAAGCAACCGTCCCGAGAGACATGACACATGCCCACGGATGCGTGGTCGATGAGATGCCGCAGTTTGAGATCGCTAAAAGCGAGATCCGCTTCTAGTTGTTCCTGGCGCTTCTTGCTCAATTCTGAATCGTTCGCAGAGGACACAATGCTCGATACCATACGACCAAGATCTCGGATGAGCTGGCCACTGAACTCATCCTGGGGCCGAAATGGATTTGTCCCGACAACAAGATAGCCAAACAGACGGGATGCGCATATGATGGGTACAATGACTATTTTCTGCGAAGGCTCTCCCCAACCCTTCCACGAGACACCGTCGAATCGCTCGTCATAGTCAATGATGGCGACATCAGAACCAGCTCGTCGCAAGTCGGGGATCAGTCCTTCTTCGCTGTCGATGGTCGCGCTTTGGATCTTGAGTCCATGTCCGTCCGGAAGTCCAATCTGTCCATGCAACCTCAAAATGTTCGAATTCTCAACTTCCTGCAGCCGATAGAGCATGGCCAAGGGAACATCCTTTGGATTCGTTGCAAGTGTTTTGAGGATATGAGAGTAGACAGTTCCGACATCTTTCGCGGAGACTGAGCCAAGCAGGTTTAGCATCGAGCTTCGTCGTTCGGAGAGTGCCTGGGCGGTGACTTCATAACTATGATTTGCCGTCAGTTGGATGCGAGACTATGAGATTGCCCCGAATGGCCTGCAGCGATCCCGAATCAACCAAGATTTCCCTGCACCTACGTGGTGTTGATGAAGCCCTCTGCTTCGGGAGAGCATCCGACAGGCACGAAGCTACCAGAAAAGAACGCCTCCTCTCGCCATCCCTTGCGCTCCACAATGGTCGAGACGGCTGATGGATAGCTTTGGCCTAGTCCAGTCTTCTTTGCGGTTGTAAAGTAGACGCTGATCGAGTCCCAGAGTTCGGGATAGCCTTCTTTGAAGGTGGCACCCATGAGCCTCGGGTGAAGTGGTCCAGCCAGGGCGGCATAATGCTCATTGTAGATGGCGGTGAGTTCCTCTACCGGACCCCACCAAAGGCAGACTGGGTTCGAGTCTGCCAGCACGAAGCCTGTGAAGAGGCGTAGACTTGGACTCCAGCATTCCACAGGTCCCAGTCTGGTGCGGGCCCAATTGGTCGCACGGAAGAAGCGGACATGGTCGGTTTGCGGCAGGTCAAGTGTCCAGTCTTGACAGTCTCGAGGCGTACACATCAAAGGCTGCTCAGGCCCGTCCTCCGGGGGTGGGGTGAGTTGCTGCATGAGGCGGCAACGAGTGTGTTGGTCACTAAGACAAGGAGCGGTCGCGGCATTTTGTTGAAATGAGGACCGTCTCGGGGGGCAAAACAAGGGTTCCGACTATCTAGGACTGTGTCTACTTTGGATCGCAACGGCCCTTTTTTCGGGAAGAAGCAATGACGAAGCCGTTCGAGATCGCGTTCCAGGCTATCGGTCGGTCATCCGACGTAGTGCCGTCCAACGCGCATCCCCAATAGCCCGACCCCCTTTGACTTTTCTTTGTCCTCTTCCTCTCCATTGATCTGATTTTTCACAGCCGGAGGAGAGACATGGTGATGGCCTGGTAGTGCAAATACAACGTCATGTATGATGGCGATTGAACGAGGTCGCCGACAACTTGATGACTGCCGATCCTTACCTGGGCTCATTCGGTCTACGAACGATGCTCAGGAGCGCCAGGTTCCATCTTGTTCAGAGCACACACACAGGGTCCAGGGATGACATGATCTGCTATACCTTGTAAGTCTTCGATACTTAGTAATGCATAGTGCATGGTTGCTGCGGGATGACGAAAGAGTAGTTCGGATCAAGGCTTCCGTCCCCGAGACGACCCATTTGGACCAGACGTTGGTAGCCGAACCCCAGAATCTGAGAATCTGGAGCCATCAATCGTCGTAACAGCTTTCGCAGCTGATACCTCCTGACTCTCAGCTCTCTCACACCACGCATAATATCAAGGGTGACGCCATCATCATGTATGTCGCCCCACTTGGATCGTACAATGACTCTTGGGCTTCCCTACCAAGGAATTCCCAAGATCGTTTCGCAAATCCTATTTTACTGCACTGATCCTCGCTCGGCCTTCTCAATATGATCGAGCGCGGCCTTTCAAATCTCCGATCTCAAGATGGTTGGACAAAAGAAATCTTCAAATGTCGCCTTACTCCAAGAATGACCCTCTGAGCTCGCACGAAAACATTAAAGTCGGAGATCGCGACAAACAGACAGGTACATCTCCTCGTTGACTTTGTGTTGCCGCACCGTTCGCGTCGACCCGTCCCGCTCAGTCCACAAAATTGAGTGCTAGAAGCGCCATATCCCCTGGCTGTGGGATCACTGCCATGGACCATGGACAACTTTCCCTTCCAACTAGAATCATGGATTCAAAGGTGAACATAAAATACGGCATAGACACTGATGCCAGCGCAACAGAGAACGCCTTCCATTGGCCCACATCACCGCCTTTGCCATGTTGGCCATATTGACGCATCGTTCATTTGGCGACGTGGCAAAATAAGTTTCGTCAAAAGTAAGACATCGAATGAGGTACTCGAGATGCTTTTGACGCGTCATCTGCAAGCCGAGAGCGAACGTGTTGGCCATGTCACCTTTGAACTAAACACCTTCAAATCGTTGATTGTGAAAGAGCGTCCGCTAGCTAAAAAGTCTTCAATTGAATACCAACCGTTTGTATTCAACCATGAAATAAATTAACGAAATACGCACAACTCGTAATTGTTCCACACATGTGATTTTTCCACCATGTCGAAGCTGCCATTCTTTGCAATACCCATCAACAATGCTGCTGTTTCCATATCAGCATTTCTCTCCTCCCTTCTCTCCTCCTCTCCTCCCGCCTTCCCCCGCCAACCCCATTCCTACCACATGACCTGCCAATTCACCCTACTGAACCCCACAATCTGCGACCACGCCTCATCCCTCTGATCCAAATTTCTCAACACCGTCTCCCTCCCCAAGATATCCACAATCTTCAAATCCTTGCCACTATCACTCGACAGCTTATCTGGTACCTTTTTCTTCACAACTCGATCCACCTTCTCCAGCACCTGGATATGGTCGTACGGAATGGTGAAATGCACGCTGTGTGGATGCCTACTCACAAAGCGCACCGACTTTGTACTAATCACCAAGTGCCCAGCCGTCTTGTCATGATATGCATTGTAGAATCCGTAGTCGTCTGCGGTTGCGGCATCGATTTGCGTGCGCAGAGGGAGAGCTGTGGGCGCGGGCGTGGCGGTAGTTTCTACACGCGTGCCCTCGGCTTGGAGATATTGGATGGCCCATTCTGCGTGCGTTGGGATGTTCCAGAGGAAGCGTTTGGTTGGCGACACGAGGAGGCGGTATTCGGGGAAGTTGACGGAGAGGGGGAAGAGGGCGAAGAAGGTGAAGCCCATGCTGAAGGTGAGGAATTTGACTAGAAGCCAGAGGGGCAAGAAGGTAGTGATGATGACGCCGATGCTGAGGAGACAAAGGGCAGCGCCTGTGCGGTACGGTTTACGCCATTCGTAGAAACTGTGTCGAGTCAGTTGCTTGTAGTGTTGGTGGAGGTGACGAGATATGCGTACTTGCGTATGGTTTCAAAGAAGTTGGCTGCGTCTGCTAGTTGTATCATGAGCCATGGACCAAGTTCTTGGAGAATATTATCGGCCCAGTGCTCATCTCCCTTCTTCTCGATGAACTCGGTGATGGATAGAGCTGTTCGTCGCTGGTCTTCGGTATGCTTAACATCTTCACGAAGATCTTCGATACTTACGCCATGGATTTTACGCTCTGCTACTATGTAAACGAGCCATGAAAGCTAACAGAGTCAGATACTGCCTTTTCCAGCGATTTTTTCACCAAACTCACCATTCCCGGTAGTAGGAGATTGAAGTACCACAACACAATGTAGATGCCCAAATACTTTGCTGTCTCGGCGGGATATTCCCAACGATAGACACGTCGAGTGGTCATGATAAGCTCTTGGAGGGGTGAAGTAGCAACCAGCAGCCGTTCGATGTTTGGTAGGATAGTTTGTTTGGACGGGGCCGGTGGGTCAGATCCGTAGCCAATATACTGTCCGCCATACATCTGGGCACAGTACCAGAGCAACTATGATTGATTAAAAGGTTTCAGAGATCTTCGAGATGACTTTGGGACAACTGACATGATAACCGTACGCTTTCCAATCGACGTCTACTCCTCCCTGCTCATTCTTACGTTCGAAAGCCGCTCTCGGTTTCCTCTGTATAGTATCTCGGGGCAGTTTCCTGACCTTTGTTACATGTCGATCCAGAGTCCATCGCACAAAAGTACTCTGCCGTAATTTGAGTAACTCGGTGATGTTCTGAGTCGCAAGCATCTTCTCTTTCTCGGAACTCGCGTGGTCCAACTCGCTCGCTGCATTGACAAGATCAACATCTTGACCATGAGGTACCTCCTTCGCCGCAATGTTTGCAGCGACCTCGCTCTCCCCCTGCCTGGAGACTTTTGATTTGATGGTATCGACAGGATCGTGCGTTAGGTCTCTGAGATTATGGGACTCTCCTTTGGCATCGGCATCATCCAGCCGTGAATGGCTTGGCTCGTCCGGGTTGTTCGCCAGAATGGGTGCTGACGGTGTTGGTTCAAGATCATCAGAAGCCTTGCTCATATGTAATTTTTCCCTGATTTTAACGCCAGCTCGATGTTTCTTCTCTTTTATCTTTTCCACCGTACTGTGGGTCGATACACCTGATTCTGGCTCTCGTTGTAGGCGGGCTACGTCACGAGCGACCTCATCATCAGACTTGCGCGTAGTCGTATCCGGAAGTTCAATCTGGCCATCAGCAGTGATATTTGATCGGTCTAGACCGATGTCTTTTGCATCAATCTGCTTATACTCGTCGGTGGGCCCCATGGCAAGGTGATTCGTTTGGCTTCGCTGTAGGATTGAGGATAGAAGCTCGAATTATGGTCACAAAAGGCAAGCAAAGATAATGCGCAGAGGCAGCCAGGATTTGTCTACGTAGGTGTATACTCTACCAGTGGCTGTGACGATCTAGCAGCGCCTTGTTATTGCGCGCGTGTCCAGTTGCGGTTGTTACACGGCCCTCGGGGTGTTTGTGCGCATGTAATAACGACGTCATTTGGTCCATTATTTGGTCAAGAAAGCTCTTTCTCGAATTCTCTCAACCGTTGGAAATTTGAAAGTACAGGCCTTTGATGTATTGTTCGGAAGTGTTGGTGTCTCTGTCGTCATTGCCAGTTTTAAGATTTAGGTTTGTTCGTTCGGTCATTAAAACTGCATGCTATAGGTAGGGGTACTATAACCTACATGCCTTGTTCACAATGTTCCTCATTTTGCACACCATAATGATATTTGTTACATATATGGCCCTCAATTTGTCGATTGGAAGACAGCCTGGACGCTTCATAGGTGGCCAATAGATCTGATCATCCTGACATCCCAGGACTGCGGAATCTCATAGGCCTATTTCCCAGGACAATCACAAGAAAAGCCAAAATGCACCCACTCAATCCATTTCAAAAAATGAACTAGACTGAAGAGACAACGGATCTGGTGAGTCTGTTACAAGGCGGCTTTCCAATACCAGAAATGGAGTAAGACTGTATCATTCAAAAGGCCACAATCTAACAAGACCATTTCTTGAATCATAAGACAATTGAATTCCTTGGGGGGAAAATGTCGCCTTCACATTAATTGTGTCTTCCATTGCGTCCTGTATTCTATTCCTTGCGCGTATCCTGCAAATCCCAATTATCAACTACAACCCACACCATAGATTCCAAACCTTCAAAATCTTCACTAGTCATCCTGACATCTCTACCATTGTTTCGAATTTCTCCCTTGGCTTCCCGCCACTCCTTTCTCGCAGCATGCTTCTCTTTGCGTAATTCCTTCCTCTTAGCTCTATATTCCTTCTTCGCCTCCTTCCACTCCTTACTCTTCTTCGCTTTACCTTTACCCTTGCCATTGCGCATGGATAACGCGCGTAGCTCCCGTTTCCTTTGGCGATGCTGTTGTTTTAGGTCGCGACCCCGCTGTTTGATATTGCGTAGTGTAGCACGATGTGCGATTTTGCATTGTTGCCGACTTTGCTTTTCGGAAAGTACTCGCTGTGTTGCTACGGTGCGTTCATGGAGGATATCGGACGCGGGTTTCTTGCCTTTCTTCAAAGCGGCGTTGGCTTTTGAGTTGATGTGTTCGACGCGTTCTTGCAAGACGGCTTCGGATAGTTCCGAGTTTGAAACTGAGTCGGAGTCGGAGTCGGAGTCGAAGTCGGATTCGGAGTCTGAGGTTTCTGAAGATACAGACGAAGTGTCATCGTCATCATCGTCATCGCCGGGATTGATCCGGACGCTCTTTGATTCGCCCTGTGTTTTGCTTGGACCATCGCCATTGGTCTTACAATCACCAGAAATGCCGGCAGAACCTCCACCTAATATTTCTTGATTGTACGCAGGAGGAAGATCCCCGTGCGCCGCTGTCGTGTTTGACCCAGTCCATGGTTGACGGCTTCCACTTGCTGCCGAAGCGGCCTGCCCAGTCCAGCCCAGTCCAGCCCCCTGACCCCAGGTTCCAAAACTTTGACCCAGGTTTGCGCCCCAGGTTCCCCAGCTTTTGCCGTATTGTTGACCCCAATTGCCCATGCTTCTCCCGTATTGTTCACCCCAATTGCCCATGCTTCTCCCGTATTGTTCACCCCACTTTCCCATGCTTCTACCGTATTGTTCACCCCACTTTCCCATATTTCTACCATATTCTTCACCCCACTTTCCCATATTTCGACCCAGAGTCTCCCAATCATTCACATACTGTGATTGACCAGGGCCAGATCCAGGAAATTTTTGACTAAAGCTGGGTGGTTCGGGCGGCCCGAACGACGGAGGGGCCTGATGGCGATGTCCTGAAGAGCCACCTGCCGGAGGACTCTGTGAGTCATGAGTATGATTGTCTCGTCCTGGTAATCTAGGTGAACCATGGTCCTGCTCTGGAAATTGTGGGATCGAGTGAGGGGGGTCTGAATCTGCCGGACTTGGAATTTCTGGCGGCTGGGACCGTGGAGACATTGTAAGCTTATGGTCTCCAGCGATATTGGCGGCAGACCTGGATACATTGAGTCTATTCTCCATCTCACGTACTGACAAGTTTGGTAGACTGGCTGATTCGACATTAAAGTCGATAATTTCGATCCGAGGGTAAAGAGCTTCAGCTCTTTGTTTCGCAGTACTGTTCCTGTCCAAAAGCGTGGTTATCAAACCTGATCTCTTGGCTTGATCGATAGAAATGTCCAGATCGCCGAGAAGCGAAGATAGCGATCTCAACGATACATGTAAGGCACGGGGGTGGAAGAACCTCTCATTCGCTCTATCGAGATATTCATGCACAGAGTTCTCCCGAGAGTCGTGTAAGCCATTCCCGAAAAGTAGATCATTAGACGTGGCATGAAAGGCTTGACAAAGAGCGTTCAATCCTTCTAGGAATTCTGCGAAATGTGCATGATGAATCGAGTGGGTTTGCAGGGTCCAAGAGTAGGCCTGGGAGAATTGCACCGGCGTTTCATGCGATGGCAGCTGCTGTGAAGATGGCCGTGTTGGAGGAAGAGCAACAACTCGTGGCAAACGCTGGTAATTTGCATCGAGGTCAGGCTGAAGCTGAGTAAACTCGAGTGCTTCGCTGAATAAATCGGGTAATTGGTGATCATCGTTTTTCCTTGGAGAAGATTGGTTTTCCAAAACTCCGACGGAAATATTCTCGCTCCTCTCGACATGCTCATTAGGCACGGTGGCCGCAAAATGACGTGGCGGACTTCCATAGTCTGGTGCAGGCTCACGTTCATCCGTGTTATCGACTTCTTCATCTCGCATTTGATATTCCCAAACTTCCGGCTCGTTTGGGCCTTCGTTCAGTGTTAATCGGTGTGCTTCTACTTGGGCTGCATCTAGAGGCATGACACCGTTTCGTGCGTCGACCACAGCCTGCTCCTGAGCCTGGTCGTATGAAGGTGGCAGGTCATCGTAATGTGGTCCTCCGGGACTGTGAACAGGTGTGGGATCGAAATCAGTGTCCGAGTCATCTGCAATTGAGATTGCTTGTGGTGCATATGGTCCTGTTGAAGGTGGTGCGTGCTGAGGGGCACGCTGAGAAGTGGCGGAGTGGTCAGGAGCCATGATGGAAACTCGAAACAGCTTTTGGAACGTTCAAGTCGCGGTTGAGGGGAACGAAGTAATCTTCACACAAGCTTTGTTGTCTTCACGTGTGGAGCAGGAGCTCGGCAGGTCTGTATATCCGCCTCACAGGCTGTGTTTTCACTATGCTGCGGTCCGCGGAGGCTGTTGCCTGGCGCGAGTTGGAGGCCTTGAAGGGAAGGTCCAATAAAGACAATAAGACGCGCGTCTTGCATGCTCGAAGCCTGCGCTTGACTACCTAGATTCGACCCCAAAGTCTACTGACTTACTCTAGAGTTGTTCTTTTCATCTATGAGGGGACAACGGGAGTGTCGAGGAGAGTGGGGTAAGTAGTAGACGCCACAGTACATACGTCATTTCTGTGGCTGCTTGTGGCGTCACCACCATTTGCTCACCCATGCTTACGAGTACGAGTAGCCACAGTCACACATAAGTATAGAGACAACACATGCAGCTCTAAGAAGGAAAACTAGGTAGCAATTTCATAGCAACCAAAAAAAAAAAACGGGGCGGTATTGTACAATTTTCCTCACTGCACATCAAGGCTGTTATACGCAGATTTCTGATTTAGAATAGGAATGAAGATGGAGCCTCTCGGATTCGCAGGGAAATAGCACTAGGTTTCCCGTAATTCTTCTTCTCCAGTGTAGCCACAACAAGCAGGGCAGATCTCTCTCTGTGTTGCACTTTGATAAGTAGATTGTACTTGGATACAGCATACAGTACTTTATTGTCTACAGAAAGATGAAGGTTGACAGGTGGGTGAGTGAAGGTCATGGTCACACGTAGATGGATCTCGAATGTTCGTTAGTGGGTGAGGCCGATGCACGTGCGAGGACGGGCCAATGGATTCATGTCACGCCTCACGACAGCGACACCTATCGTCAATCACGTATATAGTAGAATTGCGACCTAGAGAATTGCCCATTCCACAATATTGAGGCTCTTCTGAAACTCTGTTTTCACAATCTTATCAAAACGCACGATACTGCTACTAATAGGTAACGGTCCGCATACCACATACCACGGCATCACAAGGCTGAAACTCAAAAGTTTGGTGACATCACGCACGGGCCGCAACTGAGAGAAAGTCGCGACTGGGAATTTAAACATCGTGTGATCTTCCAGTTATTTGCCCCTCGCACCCACGAAGAAACAGAGACGTTAAGAAAGAGAGAGAAAAGAACTCTCCCTCCACCTAGCTCGCGTTCGCGTATACTCCACGCCTTAAAGATACCATCTGGCAATGGCAACGCAGACGCTTCACGGATCATGTGCCTGCGGCCGCAATCGCTATGTCGTCGAGATGCCTGCGGGCCACATGCAGCGGGCTGAACTGCTCTACGACAACACGTCTGCCTCACGTAAGCCAGCAACCTTTTATTCTGGACTCTGAAGTCTGAAGCGAGTCTGGTGGCAGCAAAAAAGAAAGACCAAGAGACTGACTGCAACATCTAGGACTATTGTCGTCCAGCCCGGCAACCATCTTCCTCCGCGTGCCGCTGGACTGGTACACGTCCGCTACCTTTGCGCAGTACCCTGACGAGACACGCCTGAGCATCCAACGCAGCTTTGTATCGCCCTTTGCACCACACACTCGTCGCAAGTTCTGCGGCTACTGCGGCACACAACTCTCGTCCTGGACAGAGCGCACACGGGACGACGCCGAGCATATCGCATTGACTGTGGGTAGCCTGCTGGACGAGGACCAGGCGTTGCTGGGCGACCTTGGCCTCTTGCCAGGGAGCGACAGTAGCGACGATGAAGCCACCCTAGTAGGGTCCTCGCGCTCAAGCACGACGCGGTCTACTGCACGCCAGGTAAATTCACCGCGCAGGGCAGGCGCGCCATGGTTCGAAGAGATTGTGCGAAACACCCGGCTGGGGCGCTTCAAGCAGCAACGGGGCGCGCATACAGACAACGGCGTCCGCGTCGTGTGGGAGGTTGTCGAGTGGACCGAGGGCGATGATGGCGATGGCGATGACGAGAGCCGTACCACACTCAGCAAACGCAAGATTGGCGATGTTGACGTTGCTGATGACAGCACCATGGCTGGCTGAGCATCTGCTTGCTGTCACTGTCGCTGTCACTGTCGCCGTCGCTGCCACTGCCACTGCCACTACCTCTCCCGCTTCCACCGCGGTGCTTCCACTATTTCCCCTCTCATGGATTTTCGTTTGTCACTAGATGGAGGTCGCTCACGCTTCAGTGAACCAACGCAAAGGTTACTACACGGTCATCTGCAGACTGCAGCATCAACACGGGCTCGGAGTTTCCACGGTGCATTTTACTTGATGTACAGTAAAGACGAAAAAAAAAGCAATGGCATATCACACATCACCAAACCTTGTTTGAGCTCTGCGCTGGCCGCCGTTCTCAGTTGCTGGTCCAATGACGGTCTCGGGTCTTGCCTTCTGTGCATCGAGGTCACCACTTGCATCTGCCAATACCAGTATCATTGACCTGATGCACCCAAGGCCATTGTATTGGGACATGTCGCTATCCAAGCTCACTGCTGCCATGCGCAGCACTATGTATATGGGGGGGCCGCCCACCATTCTCCTGACTTAGCGCACTGCGGCTCGCCGGCCCCGTTCCCTCCTGGACCCTGGCGTGCTCCCGCGCGGGATCCTTTGAAGTTTGTTCCATGTACCCTCCATGCTGCATGCATGCAGCTTTCAGCTCGTGCAAAGTAGAGTATGAAGTTGCCATGTCCCACAATGTACCCAGTACTGTTGGATGCACACTCTAACATGAGGTATAGGGATTACCTACCACAGCAGATAGTCGCACTGCGTCCGATGCAGGCACCACTGAGATCCGCATCCTTTATCTCGCCTTACGCCACCGATCTACCCCGAACGGCTTTTGCTGCTCCGTATCAGAATCGCGTATCGGTCGCTATCAACGGCGTCTGCAGCTGATTGGTTCCGTCACGTGTGTTCCTTGCACAGGCGACCAGGATCGACTATCTTGCTCTGCTTGGCCATTGCACTTTCTTATCAGTCAACTACCCAGAGCACATATGTGACTTCATTAGTCCATTAGTCGCCCGCATATTTCACCCTTATTCACGGTGCCTCTGCGGAGATGGCACCCTCTAGAACCCTTGATTTCTCCCGTCCTCGACACTTCCATGGCGACGACCTGCACGGCGGAACTTGTCCGGCAGTTAGTTATCTTTGGCGTCGCTTACCATCTGGGGTTACGTGAATAACTGCGTGTCTATGCAATCGTGATAGGTGTCCGAGTCGGCAGTGTTCGTGGCAGAGTGTGTCCGGACTTAAGATGCAGAGCTTTGCCTTTTGATCTTGGGCGATGATCCCCATGGGCCTTTGGAGTTCCCCAGTATCACAACTTGTTTATCAATTTCTTCGTGCATCCCGCGTCGTTTCAGAAATAGGGTTGACAAGCTTTTGCGATCCATCTGCAATTAATCTATCTCTCGGTCGTTGGTCGGCTGCCAACACAGACACACCAGGTCTTTGACTTCTTGCGCCAGTGCCATTTCGTTTCCACCCCTTTTGGACTACCTACGACATCCACTGCATCACATTGAGGCCGCAGTTGATTACTTACAGCTTTCGACTCACCATATCACTGCCACTAGCTTTCGTCATGGATAAGGAGAAGAAGTCGGAGAAGAAGTCGGCGTCGTCGTCAGCGTCATCGGAGACGCCCCGCCTGCATGGCGACGACGCAGTCGCCATTGGCGAGGTGTTGAATGCCTCTGGGCACAAGCAGGAGCTTGAGGCCAATTTCGGCCTGGTATCGTTATGCTCGATAGGCATCACCGTTGGCAATGTTTGGGCGGCACTGGGTGGTTCAATTGTACGTCGCCATGCCCTACAGTCTCTTTTCCTGCCCTGTCCTTTTTGCCATCCTGGATTGCTATTCCTCAATTCCCTATGGTGGGATAGATCTCGACCACAGTCATGGAGAAGCCAAGTGAGCGTATCCATATGCTGACCACATTCCACAGGTTATCGCGCTCTACAATGGAGGGCCGGCTGGTGTCATCTATGAATTCATCGCAGTTGCGGCATGTTATTGCACAATTGCTGCATGCATCGCTGAAATGGGCTCTGCAATCCCTTCCTCAGCTGGTGTCTATCACTGGGCCAGTGTTACAGCTGGGGCCAAGTACGGCCGCATAGTCGGGTTCTTTGCTGGGTGGTGAGTCCATTGTCGCACCTCTTGCACCGTTCACACGACGAAGCAATCGCTAATCATAACCTTAGGTGGAACTGCCTTGGCTGGATCTTTGGCACCGCCTCCATATCGTCCATCCTCGCCAATCAGATCATCAGCATGTATGGTCTCTTTCATGAAGGCTATGCTTTCGAACGCTGGCACGTCTTCATCGTATATCTCATCATCACCTGGATGTCCTGTGCCGTGGTCCTCTTTGCCAACCGAGCCCTTCCAAAGATCTCGACGCTCGGCTTGATACTCATCTTGGCTGGCGTGTTCATAACAATCCTCGTTTGCGCAATCATGCCAAGTAGAACAGGGAATGGGTACGCTACCAACAGCTTTGTGTGGAAAGACTGGTCGAACCAAGCCGGCTGGTCAAGTGATGGCTTCGTCTTCTGTGCTGGTATGTTGAACGGCGCTTTTGCCGTGGGTACTCCGTAAGTTTTCTCCAACCAGCCACTCCCATTTCGGCCATCGAGCAAAGTTGACAAGTACAGTGACTGTGTCTCCCACATGGCTGAAGAAGTGCCCAATCCACACAGCAACATTCCCAAGGCCATTCTGGCGCAATACGCCGTTGGCATCGCAACCGCGTTCCTCTACCTCGTCACAATCTTCTATTCAGTCAACGACCTCGACTCTCTCTTCTCCAATCCCTGGCCCTTTCCTCTTGCCGAGCTCTATCGTCAGGCCACGAACAGCCATGCCGGCTCCCTAGGCCTTCTCATTGTCATTGTCCTCCCTACGTTCTGCACAAACATTGGCACCTACATCACCAGCGGGCGCATGCTATGGACGCTAGGTCGCGACAACGCCACTCCCTTCTCGGCATGGATTGGCAAGATTGACAAGAAATGGGGAAACCCGTTCAATGCGACGATCATCTGCGGTGTCATCAACACCATCCTGGGTCTCGTGTACATTGGATCGAGCACCGCGTTCTCGGCGTTTGTCGGTAGTTTTATCGTCATGAGCTCGCTCAGCTATCTGGCCTTTATTCTGCCCAACATGCTCACACGTCGACGCTACGTGATCAAGGGACCATTTACCATGTCCACGCCAGTGTTTTATACCGTTGCCGGCATCGCGTGTGGGTATATGCTTGTTTGGATTCCGATTTACTGCTTCCCGTTTGCGGTGCCGTTTGACGCGACGACGATGAATTACAGTTCGGCGATGGTGGGTGGATGCACTTTTCTGCTTGGCTGTTGGTATGCGTTTATTCGTACGCGAGGCTATGTCGGGCCGAGGCGGTTGGTGGAGACGTTGGAGAGTGTGGAGGGTATGGTGAGGGTGAGGGAGAGTGTTGGTGCTGAAAAAGTCTGAGGTCTGGGGTGGTTTGGGGGGATGAAGGGTTAGGGGAGACGAAGATTGCTACGCCCTCCTCCAAGGAACAGAATACCGTATGACAACCAAAGCGCCTTAATAAAAAAAAAGACAAAAAGTTTGCGAAATAAACATTACTGCCTTTTGCAAGCAAACCTCGCTAGGAAATATCAACTTGGGTTGAATAGATTTGGATGAGATTTTCAGTGATGTATGAGTACTTTTTTGCATTCCAATTTATATTTTCATGTGCATTCCAATTTATATTTTCATGTGCATTCCAATTTATATTTTCATGTGCATTCCAATTTTATTTTCTTTGTGCATCCCAATTGTTACCCGCACTTTATCCTTCTTCAACACACTCGACTTGCATAGGCGTAGCTAGAGTATGGCATGATGTTGCTACTTACCTTTCGGTACCGGTACCACTAGTCGTCACTTCCAAGCGACATGCCCCTCTCTCCCCCGCAATCTCCACACCCCCGCTCAGCGCCACCCCCGCATCACGAGCCCACACCTCCTCCCGCCGAAAACCAGATTCCAGCCGACCAAAAGCTCAAAGCGGATGTGATGGACCTGTGCAAGCCGTGGGGGCTGTGCTGGGCTGCATTGGGCCAAGAGGTCTTGGGTGGATGTGATTTGTGCAGTTGATTAGGCTGGGCGGGATATCAAGGTGAGGGGTGTGCGTGGACTTGAGGTTGGAGTTGCGCTGTTACTCTTGTTGATTCGAGGTCTGGGGATATATTGTGCGTGTTTGATTGTGCATGTGTGGGCAACGGTGTTGTACTGTTTCGGACTGGGTTTGGTGCTGGACGAGGCGATAACCGTACGCTACGACAGGAATCAGGGTGCGCGCGCTGGGTTTGGGAAGAAGGGCTAGGAGGATCTACGACGTTGAGGGGGATCGAGGTGAAGAGTTGGGAAAGAGGTTGGATTTTTGTTGGGTTGGGTTTGAAGCTGGTGGGGAGGAAGGCGGGGGGGTGAGAAGGCGAGATTACTACGTTTACCGGCGCAGCGGCACGACGACTCGGTGCTTTTTATACATATATACAGCCATCGAGGAGAGAAATCAGCGCATGGTCGTTGCCATTGTGCGATTGGATGATCATGGCGAATAACGACGAGGGGAGAGAGGGACACGGGTTACCGTTCAGCACAATGGTCATTGCCATCCTCGTTCCCTCCGTCATGGTCGTTGTTGTCGTCGGGCTGATTGTACTGTAAGTCATGGACTGGTTTGGATGATTCCATCTCTGTCTGTGGGAGTGGGACTAAGTGGAGACGATCTAGCCATCGACGCCGGGTGCGTGTTTTCCCCTGTTTCCCTTGCGAAGACGATGTACTGGTGAGGCAAGAACGGAGACAGACGCGGCAGTCTGAACTGGAAAATAGTATTCAGGCACAGCATTTCTGCGACTGGCTGGCTGGGCAAAAGGAGAAGCATCCAGGGTCGGTGCCGGCAGTGGATCCATTGTGGTATGTTTTGTTTCTTTGTCGTCGAGGTTTGCTGTGCATTGTTGGGGTTCGGTTTCCGGTTGGGAGGTTTGGTGTTTGGTTGAGAGAGGGTGAAATTCACTAATGGGAACGTCTAGTGCAATCTGTCTAGAGGAATTCGAGGCCGAGGCGCAAGTAAGAGGATTGCAGTGCAGTCATGCGTTTCATTCACAGTGCTTGGATGAGTGGTTCACGCGGTATAATGAGTTTTGTCCTCTTTGCCATCGGGCGATTATCCCGGGGAGGAGAGCGGTGAAGAAGAAGCCGAGGGAGAGGACGGTTGGATTGCCGGTTGTTATGATGGTTTGAGGGTGGGCGAGGTGGATTGCTCGTGTGAGAAGAGGTGGGCGCTGGAGGCTAATCGAGGACCTCGTTGGGGGTGGGGTGCAGGGAAGTGGTCTTTCTACAAGGGCTGTTGTGGTTTTGTTGATTTGTGTGCGGACAAAGGGATACCCTGGCAGCGTTTTTGACAAAGTTTTGGGTTTGTGTAGCGAGCTGGATAGCGAAGAAATGAGGCGTTGTAGGAGAGTAGTTTGGGTGGATGATGAGAATGTGAGGGCTGTTACCCAGGTACGGTGGACTGTATGTGTTTACAGGCTCTGGTGAAGCACTAGCGTAGAAGAGAGCAGCAGCAGCAGCTACTACTCATGCGCTCGGGTAGTTTGAGTATCATGTGATTTGCCACTGCTACATCCTGGCCATTTTGATGGCACAAGACAAGTAACGTGATCCTCAACCTAGCCGAGATCACTAGTACTCTAGGCACCGGCATGGTTAGCGAAGGGACGCTAGCGGGAACGTTTCTTCGGCCCCACCAGAGGACTTGCTTCTCGTTCCCCCGTCCATGTCCATGCACCAACACACCAACACACCAACACGCCAACACACCACCCATACTACCACTATATCATCATCACCACCATCCAGTCTCATCCCATTCTCACGACATGTATAAAGAGCCAATGCATGGTACAGTACTAGGAAGGTGACACCCTTGATGCATCTCTCGTTGATGGAAAGATGCGGGCCCCATGTAGAGGATACATGGAGTACTCTACTCTACTCTACTCTACTCTACTCCCATAGTCCCTCCTATCCTATCCTATACCATCCTGCTTGTCCGAGTCGAGTCGAGGGAGAAGGAAGCAAGTTCCATCTCGATGGCTGGCCTGGCCCTGTGTTGTCGGAAGCGGAAAGGTGGGTGGACCCCTTGTTCCCAAGGTGGAAAGGTGACGAGGTTGCTGGGACATGTCACGCCACCAACGCTTCCGGTGGTCTGATTCTCTCTGTCCTCCAAAGGGCCCATCGGCAGCGCCCAGCCAGAACAACAGCTGCAAACTCGAACAAACCCGTCTTGTCGTGCAACCGCCATTTCTCCGAGATGGCCGTTTGAGCGGGAGCACACAGGTGTATTGCCCCCCTCGAGCCATTCTCTGCTTACCTAACCTACACACTCTGGAGAGACACTCCTTGCCGGACCTGCCTATCGCGCGGCTACACCCGAACTCTCACACGCACACACACAAACACACACACACACCCACCCACACATCTGTCA